CCGGTTTCATTTGATAAATTCAGGTACAAGGTAATGGACAATTTTCTTCTTGTTGTTTTGGTGTACCAAGGAATGGAAACGACGTTTTGTTCATTTCGGCACAATTATACACAAAACACGTAATGTTAAAGAAATATGGTTCGTTTAAAGAGAAGGAAATACATTGTATTATTAATCAACAAAAAAAAAATCCTAAACTGTGAAAGATCAAAATAAACAACATGGGTTCCATGAAGTAAACGGGTTGATTAACTTTTATCACACCGATTGTTTTACTATTTTTGAATAATAGACAAAAGGTCAATCAGTTATCACAGGGATTGTTTTTCCATCTTAAAATACTTCAGGAGACTAAAGCAAACTAGATGACAAACAAACAAGCGACGTGTGCGGCAGTTCAAGGCTTGACAAACAGGTATTTTGAAAGAAAGTCGGTCAAACAGACGTACCTATACAGGTAAACAATTCCTGTCTGCTATCCACAATCTCTAACAGTTCCATTAAAATATTGAGTTATATTGAAATATTGAGTTATAACTATAAAATCGCAGAATCATTTAAAGATTATTCTGGTTGTAAATATAGTTGAAAAAAGAGAGTTCTATCTGGGATCAAAGCATTATTGTGTCTAAAAATATCGATTTATCTCTATTGTGATAACGTTAAGAGGACATATCTTACTACTACTAGATTTAACATTTAAATTGAATACAAGGACATGGCCTAGCATTACCAAAAGCAAGAATATTGCACAAATATTAAAATCGAGTTTCAGCAATCGTGATTCTAATTTTTACTCCTGGTGTTTCTAATAAGGCCCAATACAAACATTATTTTAAAGTTAACGGATTTCAAAGATGCTTGATGATATTAAAACTGATGCTGAGCAATACACTGGTTTATAAATGTTTTTTTTTTTAAAGTACATTTATTTTAGCTTTTGTTGCCCGTGAACTTTGCTATTTGTTATTCAGAATGCCATAAAAATGTACCAGGTTTATTGATCAACAATTTCTTTGTAGTAAGAAGTTGTTTTTAAAGTGACATTATGCCCATCCAAGGGTATATAGTGAGTGAAAAGGTGAAAGTCAAAATAAGTTTACATTTTGCCATAATTCCATATATTGCTTCACGATAAATGACTCACATTGACCAAGGAAATTTCTGTAAATATCCATCGGAATTTAGCAATAACATTCAATTTAAAAAAAAAAGAGTTGGACAGTCTTTTTATATTTTTTGGCAGACTTAAATTTAATTCTAAAGATTTTCCAGGATCAATTGTTAATAAGACCAAAGCCAACTTTATTTGGGCTAAATGAAGATATATAATAAGACCTAACTAAATATGAATCATGTTCGGTTTGGGCTTATTTCAACAATTGGTTCATTTTAAATTGTTTCTTTCAATTTACAAAATTTATTTAAGCTGCCACTCCCCTCCAGATATGTTGTTTTGTTATAACATATATCGACAGTGGTATATCGCGATATTCATATCATTTAATAGTACAGAGGAATAGCCTTTATAAATTCAGACTGGTAATGCATGCCACTGGCCTTCCATGATTTTTAACAGATAACGTCTTGTTGCCTTTTTTATATCTCGATCAAAATCTATAAAGGTAATGGTAAATAAATGAAAATTAACGGCCGTCACAAATCAATTATGCACTTCTGAGGAGAGGTATTATGGTGAAAAACAACAACAATAACAACAATAATGAAATGCATTGCCAGTGCATAAAATTTATTATTTTCATAAAGTAAAGGTTTTTTTTTCTAACACATGGTATTTCTACAAAAACAAAAGAAAATATTCTAAAATATATATCGTATTATTAATAATTAAATGATTTTATCTGACATTGTAAACAAAGATTTATCTAAAAAAGAGATATGAATGAAGTGTTAAGAAAATCAGCATAATCCTAAGATAAAAATGTAAAACATTTGACCACTCATTAATAAAATGTGAACTTCCCAAGACAACTAAAAGTTTCAGAAAGATTTTGGGAACTGGAGATCCATATAGAGCAATGAACACACAAAACAATTAATTTAAAATTGCTTACTCGATTTTAATTATTCTGTTCATTAAAAATGCAATATTTCTCACAAACTAGAGCCGGCTTAATCTGTATTGAATAATCAACTCTTAAAGTACAGGACATAAAATATATATATAAACTGAGGTGAAGTGATGGGCATCTTTTCACAGTTGCAATAAAGAATTTAACATCTGCTGTTATGACTGCATACATGCCATAACGTCCCGGACGCCCGGAAAGTCCCGGAAATAGGGCGTCTGTCCGGGAGATAATTTATGAGTATGAAATTTCTGGAAATGATACATCCCTTATTGAGCAAGGAATAAAGAAAACAAATTGTTGAAAATCACAGACTCGGTTTTCGACCTGTTTAAGAAGTACATTTACACAACATAGTGTGAGATAGGAGAGATCAATTTTAAGTGACATTGTAAATGTTAAATAAAGACATATTAGCTTTACTGGTGGAAGAAGATGTTACACAACACTATCAATATTATTTTAGGGATAAGCAAACAGCCCTTGTCACCAAAATAAATTGTAACCCGTTATGATATAAATTAATATTCTTTTACAAGATTTGAATATATAGTGGTAAAAAGTTAGGTACCTATGCCCATGACCTTAATTGTTCAGCAAAAAGAAGTCATTAGGACAAGTTAGCATTTCAACCTATGGCAAAGATCAACAACTCATTAAACACAAGGACTTCATAACAAAGAAAATCAATGTGAAAAACAACCATGACACATAAAATGTAAGTAAACCATAACACATTAAATGTAAGTATTAACAACACAGGCAAAGTTGAAATTTGGATAGGAAATACTCAGTAATCATAATTTGGTATTTGACATAAAAGCCGCTAAAAAAATAAAGAAATCATAATTTGATATTTGATGTAAAAGCCGCTGAAAAATAAGAAAGCAAAGAGAAAATAGTTGTCCATCATAATAATAACAACAACACATGTACATCAATTGTAAACTTTATGGCAATATTTTCAAAGAAAAAAATACAAAAAGAATACTATTTAAATTAATTTTGGCCATATTGTGATCACTATGAAGAAGAATATGGCGACCCAAAATATCTCTCCGTATATAAAAAATAAAACATATAAATGTATCCTATTAAGATTAAATTAAAAACATCCCTCACGCCCCCTAGCACCGGCTTGAGCGGTACTCAATTCTCAACACTTTATAGTGCTGGCATCAATTATCCCGACGGACCAGAAAAATAAAACAACACTGAAGTGAAGTACAAACCATCATTTCCTTAAAATTATTTAACAAGGAGTGTTCCTTATATATGTATATTATATGAATGGTGTGGCACCTTATTAGAACTCACAACCTTCTGTAAGATTTCAGGATGGGTGCTTTAAATGAAATCTGCTCATCTCAGTACTGTTTAAACCCTTAATTTAATATATATCTTCAATCGGCATGACAATTTTCTCTCGCTTTTTTTTTTCAATCTAGGAACCGTTTTCAGTTTTACAGAAAATTTCAAAACATGTTTTGACTGAATTACAAACTGTGCAGACATTGACCAGTCTGTGATGGCTAATCTTGATCTTCACTAGAAGCATGGGTAGATTCAGTTGCCATCAGCGAGATAAGGTTTAAACCCTAATTACAAGTAAGCCCCCTCCCATGATAGAAACCTATCCTATTGTTTGTTTCCTTCAGTGACAAGTATAAACATTGCTTATTTCTACAGGTTAAAAGGCCCATCCATTATGCCTCAGATATGCTACCATTTTATTTCTATCTATTTTTTGGTTACAATTTCCAAAACGTTACTCATTGCCATATACATGAACTACAATTTGCTTCTGTTGCTATATTAGCAATTGGTATAAATATAGTGAATTATTTTTTATATGCAAGTCAAAATACTACTTTTGTTTACATTTTGCAACCTTTATGACACATAAATGCGCATTCCATGCTACTTCTTCAGTTGTTAAACATCTAAAATGCTCTAAATCCATACTTAAAACATTTTTAACTGAAGGTTGACAGTTCTAAAGAATTATTAAAAGATACGGATTTTTTATGCATAGTGTGGCTTTAACAAAAGATTTAACATGCTATAATGATATGAGTTATACATTCATTACATAACGTCTTTTACTACATCTCCCATTATAATTATAAATTCATTATATTTCTCTTTTATCTTTTGATAACTCGCGGTTATCACACTTATATTTTCTAATTAATCAAATATTAAAGAATTCAAGCTCGTTTTTGAAATTCATGTTTACCATTTATAGTGTCTTAAAAAATAAAAGAAAAAACAATATATCTAAATATTTATAACTCATATATAAAAATGCCCGGTAAAATATTGATGAATTTTATCAAAGCACATGGTAAAGTCTAATTGACTATCATCTAAAATAATCTGACTAATTAAGACATAACTAAAATGCCATAATAAATTATGTTATGTTGTAAAAATATCTTATAAATTTAGTGAGACATTTCCGAGTGAAGAAAAAAACAAAAACAATGAGAAACATGTATCGTTATGACCTCTGAAAAAAAAACAAGGCCTGAACAAGCCAATCTTAGGTAGCAAATGAAGGAATATTTATTTCAAGTTAGGCCATTTAACTGTCATACAATTGTTTCAAGGGAGACGTTCTTTACAGATATTATTCACCATCAGTGCATATCAACTAACCATAAATTATACAAGTATTAAAAGAGCAACAATAAATTACAGTTCAAATCACAATAAGAAATATGTGCATTATTGGGTGAAATTCAATTTTTAAAAAAGTTGGTAGACAACTTTTGGTGTCTGATATTTGATTTCAAAATTTGAGCTTAATTAAAAACATATCATTTCAATAAAATACAACAAACAATTTTTAATAAATCATTTAACAACCAAATTGTTCTTCATATCTACAAAATATTATCTCCATGATTTTTAATTTCTTTTTTTTTTTTTTTTTAAATTGTAAGGGACAATATTTTGGAAGAATTGTTAAATTTTTCAGAAGCAAAATTTTAGTAGATTAAGCTAAAGATTTATTTCAATATCACAGTTTAGATCTAGCTGTCTGCAGGTCTATGAATGGTTTGGCGAGTGGGTACAATGCCATGTCCCTTTTGAATGCATTTACATCCTCCACAATGATTGGCTGAAAATAAAACGCAAAAAGAAAATAAATATAAATATGGCTATAAATAATTACAACAAGATTGTTGATAACACAGATGGAATACTCCTTGATGTCACTTTCAAAACACTAACACACATTATTATACAATACCATGATAAAAAGTGAATAACTCAGGAAACTTGAACCACTCATCCTGAATTAGAGACCAAATATTAAAGGTCCGTAAAAGGTAAACACTGGCATCATGTCATAAATAATATACCTTCAATTTCAGCTGATTGAGCTCTGTTACAAATACGCTGACTGGCAAAAAAAAACCCTGTAAGACCATTTATTCATTTAAAAAGCATTAATCTTTCAAATAAACAATTAAACCATTCAAATACCAGGATTAAGTCATTAATCATTTCCATTCATTTTTATGGAAAACTCTGTAGATATCAGAGTGGAATTCGCTTCCAATACCATTGAGAATACAGAAGAGAAATTTTCTCCTGTTTTAAACAGTGCCTGTCACGCCATTAAAGGACAAAGCATTAAAACAAATCAGAGGCAACGGAAATATAACAGTCCCTGTAGGAGTCATTAGAAATCTATCATTCACGAGTTTCAAGCAAAACTGCTATATCTCCTACTTTCTTTACGATCAACTTAAAACGATTTTGCACTAAAGTGATCACTCTGGTGACATCTTGTCCAGAAATAGTAAATATGTTTCCACAATTATGGAAAGACAAATGAATAATAACAGGCCAGTCAGACATGGTTCTAGAAATGGAATTCATTAATCAACCTATACTAACAGCAGGATATTGTCTACATCCGCACTCTCATTCTTTTCCTTTTTTCTCTATGAAAAGAGCATGGTCTTTATACATTTCATTTTCGATTTGCCAATAATTGTGAAGTATGCAAAAAAAAAGCCTTTAGTAAAGAACTATAATTTTGATTCAATGCTGTTCTCTTTTTCAACTACTGAATCAAATTCTTAACAATTTTTCAACTTTTTTTCATTAATTAAGATACGTAATAAAGGAGGAACATGTAAACTTCAATATTTAAATGTGGTAAAATATTTAAAAAATATATATAAAAGATGTGATATTTTATTTGCTATTGACCATGCATACATGTACAATGTTTATTGAACTACATGTAACTGAACATACTTTAAAAAAAATACACAATAATTTTATTGACAATCATTATAAGAAAATGACCTCTGTATAAGAAGACAATTGACCCCTTTTATGCCAGTAATTTGATAATAAAATATAAATGTATTTGTCATGGTAATTTCAAAACTCAAAGGACCTACTATAACAGATGGACGATTATTTTACACTTCATAAAATATACTACAACACTTTTTTGTGTGTGCACTACACCTAGGCAAAAGTGTCATATGATTTTGCATACAATTATTTTATACTAAGATTTTTTGTGACAATAAATTTCTTTCCCCAATACCATGAATACATCTTTCATGTTTGATTTGTAGATTTTCAGTCCAGACTTCTAGATCAGATTTGATAACAACACCAAGCATCACAACCTATATTACTAGAGCTGTCATTGATTCAGTGCAAAGTACATGAAGTATATCAATGCTATATCAATATCGGATGACAAATATAAACAAAACATCGAGATATCAATAAATACCCATAATTTTTTGTCTGTCATTCAGTTTCTCACCTGTTTAAATGATTTCAGTAAAATACATGTTCTGTTCAGTGTCTTGTTTATAAATCCCCATTGAATGTTTTTTTCAAAACTATTTTTTGTGATCACTGTTATGTAATATTTCCACTAAATAACAACAGCATAGTGTTAGACATGAACACCTGCTTCTGAGTTCTGTATTTGTTTTGGGTAAATTTTCCTTATTTCTAGACCTTTACTTAATTACTCAAAATAAATTGCTTTTTTAAAAACGTGTATTGATTATTGATTGACAACACAACAATATGGATGATACATCATTATTGTTTCTATTGATGGAAGCTCTATATGAGCCGCGTTATGACAAAACCAACATAATGTGTTTGCGACCAGCATGGATCCAGACCAGCCTGCACATCCGCGCAGTCTGATCAGGATCCATGCTGTTCGCTATTAGTTTTTCTACTTGTTATAGGGTCTGTAAGCGAACAGCATGGATCCAGATCAGACAGCGTGGAAGCGCAGGCTGGTCTGGATCCATGCTGGTTGCAAACCCATTATGTTGGTTGTATCGTGACGCAGCTCATATTATATTAATAATATATAACAGTACAACATGTAAGACTTACTTTAGGAAGCTGTATATCTGGTCCCTGAAGTTCAACATTAACAGTTTCCACCTGGTCACCGGCACCATTTTCTTCTTTTGGTGCAGCAGACAATATATGGACAGATAACTTGTGTCGTTTTGGTGCATTATATGCAATATAGTCCTGAAAAATTAAATAGTTTAAATAACTACACCAACACTTGAGTTCATAAATATTTATTTCAATTCAAAAGTTTTATTTTGAGCTTTATAAGCCCACCAGTATTATAGTACAAGGCCAGATTGCATATCAAGATTTATACTTATGGCTGCTTAATGACAGTATTTTTGTCATAAAGTGATATTAAAATTCACTTTTAAAGCAAGGTAAATCCTTTATGAAAATAAAAAGAGTGCCACAATGGCCTTAGATCATTCTAGCAATGATTATCAGTATTATGATTAGATCAGATTGGCCCATTTGTTTTTATACCATCAGATTAATAGTTAAAGTATTTCAGTTGTTTGTATTGCAATTACAAAGGAGATTTTTCCGGATATAATTACTATGTAAGTCTATGTACACTAAGCTCTCCCCAAGGGAGGGAAGCATTTTAGACTCCAGGGGTATGAATTTGTAACTTAAGTAGAGATCCACTAGTCTTAGTATCTAAGCTCTCGGCAATTGTGTTTCATGCTGGAGGACTTAATGTGTTTTCCTATACAAGTCAATATAAACTAAATAATATATAACCTATCGTAAAATTCATATTAAACACCCCTCCTCTAATAAAGGCCCCCCCAAAGGCTTTTTGATAAGGAAAAATTCTACTCATCAGTGCTGAACTCATGATCATGAGTAAAAACCATGATTTTATTCAAATCCTTTAGAAGCCTTTTTTTTTATAGTAAACACAAAAGTTTCCCATATAAACCTAAAAAACTTTTTTAAATTTTATTACCAACACTTGCTTACATTAAATGTATTTACAATAATTTTTTGGATTTTGAAAAATTGTGTTTTAATAATAGCCCGGCTTTGGTAAAATGTTGAGCCCCCCAGGGGGCGTTAAATAGGAATTTTATGGTATTCATGTTGATAATGTGTTTTTTCTACAAGAGCAGAGATGTGATGCTTGAACATTTCTCTAGCTATTTTTACTAATTACTTTTTCCGCTGTCTATTTATACCCTAGGGTGAACTTTCTAAAGAAATGTTAAATAGCAGTTGTAAAAGTACATGCACATGTAAATGGCAGGAAATATCCAATGACTGTTCATAAAATGTAGTACATGTAGTATTTAGTTAATTGTATTTCAAAAATAGACAAGAGCACAAAGTCATATTCTTTGATAGCGTATTGGTATGTCTATTCTATCCTTTTCTGTGTATTTATGACATCTATTAAACGTTCATATTTCAGTTTTTACAGTCTTTCTAACAAAATTGAAACTTCTTATGAATTTATTTCCAATCTTGATAATATATAACTAGTTCTTATGAACTTTGGACTTTTTATATTTAATAAAACAAAATAAATGACCTTTGAAATGACCTTTTGAAACTAATTTACAACTGAAAATGAAATGTTAGTAACAACATTTGCCATATGATAATAAGTTTATATGATCATTTTAAAGTTCAAAGTGACTGAATAATTTCTTATAAAGATATTACAAAGACTTTTTCTTCAGTTTTATTAGACTATGTAAAAGTACAGTTTTATAAGACTATGTAAAGTACAGTTTTATTAGACTATGTCATGCCTTTAAAACCTGTTGTTTATTTCTTTTTAGTTGTCAGCCAGCCCGCATAGCTCAATCGGTAAGAGTGCGAGACTTGTAATCTCGACATTGCGGGTTTGATTCCCGGGCTTGCCAACTAAAATTACTAATCAGTCTTTCGGATGAGACTTTAAATCGAGGTCCCGTGTATGAGTGCTTAATCACTTGGCATGCTAAAGAACCAGGAGAAGCTTCTGGAATTGGGGCATCTTTCTGTATTTGTATTTTCTTGCACTATGCTCCAAAAATCTAAAATGACTAATACTCTTCTGGAGGACTCGCCTAATATGGGCAACTGGTGGCGAATATAAATAAACTTAATTACATACATTTTAAGTTGAATTTTAGGTCATATTGTCATATGACATCTTTCCAGCTTTACTAATAGAGGCAGATCTCAAGGGCCTCATAGTGCATTATTTCAGGTAAGAGTGGTCATCTGAGTAGAACCACAGACATTTGAGCCTCGTCAGGACAAAAACCAACATAATGCGTTTGCAACCAGCATGGATCCAGACCAGCCTGTGCATCCATGCAGTCCGATCAGGATCTATGCTGTTCGCTTACCAACTCTATTACAAGTGGAGAAACTGACAGCGAACAGCATGGATCCTGATCAGACTGCGTGGATGCATAGGCTGGTCTGGATCCATGCTGGTCGCAAACGCACTATGTTGGTTTTGTCGTGACGCGGCTCATTTATGTCCTTTAGGTAACCGGATAGCTTCTTTAGCATCTTTACTTATCTTTTTAAAAAATATTATTCTGATTCAAGTGCACCAATATTATTGATCTTTTGAAGAGTCTAAAATTTTATATTACTAGACTTTCAGACCTTGGTGAAGGTCTGCTTATGACAATTATTAAGTTACAGGCAAAACTTTTACAAATTGTTAAACCAATGCAAACACAGAAATCAGGGTAAGTTGAATAGTCCCAATTTTCTTTGAACAACCAAACTATCAAACTTTAAACAGCTCTCCAAAATGTTAAGGTATAGAGTTTCATTAATTCCATTTCTTGGATTTTTTTGTGAATTCATATTCATGAGGACTTCTCTTGTTTGGCTGCTCATCATCATAATTATATCACTATAGATGGGTCTTATTTAGATGCTTAAATATCAAAATATTTGCTCTAGTTTTCATTTCAAAATATAGAAAAAATAAAAATTGTTTCAAACTTTGCATGATCTTAGAATATAGTAAAAGGAACAGTTTTAGCCAAAATAAAATTAGGGGATCAGAAATCTTTTTACCTAGTTATCTGCCCAAGAATTTTAATTTTATCATAAATTCAAATAATTAATTACATATTCTTATGAACCATGAAACAGTTATCATTTTGTCAACTTGAAAAGGTAACAAACACTGGGTAATCAAAAATTTGAAGGGATTAAATGTGATGTTGATTTACATGCATTATGTATCCAAATCATATAGATCTACTATGCTGTACCTTGTTTAATTGTAAATACAATTATTAGATTTAAAATTAACTATCAACTTACTTTATAAAATCTAATGAGGTCATCCTTTGTTACACCCTTTAGATAGGCTACCTCTACATTATCTGCAATAAAAAAAATATAATTTAAGTATTCTATACTAGTGATACAACAACAGTTTACTCATCCTGCGATGCAACACTGACCTAAATGTATGTTTAGTCATTCTGCGATGCAACACTGACCTAAATGTATGTTTAGTCATTCTGCGATGCAACACTGACCTAAATGTATGTTAAGTGGTAAAGAAAACTAGTACTGTGATATTTTCTATCCCTTCTAAAAAGTACTCTTCTTTATTGGACATTTCTAAACCACATAGTGAGCATATCCTAAAAATAGCTTCCAAAATATATTGGGCAAAACCAAAATTCAAAGTCATAAAAATATTGCTACAGGATAAGTAAATAACCCGAGACTGGATATTTATGTGGAAAATCATATTGGACCTCCCCCATCAGTCTCACTACGATATGGTTTTCTAAAGAACACTATTTTATCCCATATCGGATCGGTAACAAATCATTAAAACTATTAGTATCCCAATGCAGGTTTGACTTTATCATTGTACACAAGTCATATTTAATACAGACCGATATAGAACTGAAAACTTTTTATCATGATTCATCTAATGTTAGCAACAATTCTAATGCGGCATGGTACAGCATTAAATGTACTTTTGAAGCTTAGTAAAGTACAACCAGAATCACACTGACTCACTGTGACTCAAACTTAACAAGATTGCATTTGAGAAAAATGCTATGCCACCGCATTAATACAACACTAAATAGTAGTGTAAAAACAGATTTTTTTTTGTTTCTATACAATTTTGAAGATTGTCATAATGCATAGATCCCTGACCTATCTAATTCTTATTATCAGATTAGTGGTTAAATCTGTTGTTAACTCAATAAAAGATCAGAGTAGGAATATATCAATGCACTTGAGTCTAGTGAATTTGATGGTCATATTTACACAGCCTAAATTTCATGACTACATCAAAGGACAACACAGTAAGACACTTTTGTCAAAATCTAGGTCAGCTGAAATCAAAGTTCACTTAACATCTTAATCTGTACACATGGTTCAAATTTTATAGCTGTACATAAAAGGACAAGAAAGTAGGTCACATCATCAAAATCTAGGTCACCTGATATCAAAGTTCAATTTTACAACTAAAACTGTGCACATGGTCAAAATTTCATTGCTGTACATCAAAGGACAAGAAAGTAGGTCACTGTCCCCTTGGGCAAGGCAAAATTTTGGACCCAAGGGTTTAATTCAAAACAATCTTGATACAGGTCCACCAAACAACATTTCAAGTCAAATATCTAAGCTGTAGCTTTCTCCCATTCAGAAAAGATTTGTTTTATTTTCTGTTTTTACTATGTGAACATAATGAGAATCACTGCCCCTGGGCGAGCCAATTTTAACACTAGGGGCATAATTAAAACAACTTTAGTAGAGAACCCATAGATGATATTATATAGCAAACATCAAAGCTCTATGCCTTGTACCTTCAGACAAATTTTTTTTTTTTTACTATATGTACATAGTGAAAATCAATGACTCCTGCATAACTAATCAAGGGCCATAACTCTGAGTTAAAGTGTCTGACCGGAACAAGCCGACGATATGCGCATCTCCTCTTGGTATTGAAGGTTCCCATAAAGTTTCGTTGAATTCCAGCCAGTAGTTGCAGAGAACTACTCCGGAAACGATTTTTTACTCTATATGCATACTACATAACTAATCAAGGGCTATAACTCTGAGTTAAAGGGTCGGACCGGAACAAGCCGACGATATGCGCATCTCCTCTTGATATTGATGATTCCCATAAAGTTTCGTTGAATTCCAGCCAGTAGTTGCAGAGAACTACTCCGGAAACGAAATTCGGACGGACGGATGGACGGAAGGACGGACGGACAACGCCAAAACTATATCCCCCTCCCGATTCCATCGGCGGGGGATAACAAATATTCAAGCTCTAAGCCTTGTACCTTCAGACAATAAGATTTTTTGATTTTTTACTATACATGTATGTATATATTGAAAATCAATGACCCCCGGGGCAGGGGCAATTTTGACCCCAGGGCTGAAGTTCACTTCACAATGTTTCATGCAAAATATCTAACCTCTAGCATTTGTCAATTGCTAGAAGAAATTTTTTTACTATAAAGTTTTTACTATATACATATAAGGAAAACCAATGACCCCCGGGGCAGGGCCGATTTTGACCCCAGGGCTATAATTTGAACAATCTGAATAGAGGTCTACCAGACAATGCCTTATGCAAAATATCTAAGCTCTAGGCCTTTTGGGTCTTTACAAGAAGGTATTTTAAGTTTTTACTATATGTACATATAGTGAAAATCAATGACCCCCGGGGCGGGGCCGATTTTGACCCCAGGGCTATAATTTGAACAATCTTGGTAATGGTCTATCAGACAATGCCTTATGCAAAATATCTAAGGTTTAGGCCTTTTGGGTCTTTACAAGAAGGTATTTTAAGTTTTTACTATATGTACATATAGTGAAAATCAATGACCCCCGGGGCGGGCCGATTTTGACCCCAGGGTTATAATTTGAACAATCTTGGTAGAGGTCTACCAGACAATGCCTTATGCAAAATATCTAAGCTATAGGCCTTTTGGGTCTTTACAAGAAGATTTTTTAAATTTATTCTTATAATTCCTTTTGGTTACCATGGCAACCAGATTTCTGCATGGAATTAAATTCTTTGAACAACTTTGGAAGCCCTTCACCCAAGGATCAATCCTGCCAAGTTTTGTTGAAATTGGACAAGTGGTTTTTCACAAGAAGATTTTTTAAGTTCACTATATAATCTATATAACACACACACACACAAACAAACACACACACAGGTGAATCGCTATATGCCACCGCATCGCAGATGCTGCGGTGGCATAAAAATTATTAAGTACATAACAACAAAATAGTAGAGGTGCAACTACTGATTACATAACAGTCAAAACATCTTTTAAAGTACAACCAAAAGCCAAGAAATGGAAAACAATAGTTACAGGTAATTTGTGTGGATTATACATGCTTTAACTGAATGTGTACACTTTACAAAATTTTAATTTTCATAAAAACTAGAACTATCACTAAATGTGATTAATACCCCCACAAGACTGCTTCGGAAATGAGGATGTTACTAGTAACAGAATACCTTGTAAAAGAATTGAAATATAGAGTTATTGTTGTGGGCAATTAAAGATAGTTGTGGTTCTAGTATATTGCATTTCCTTTCAATGTGGTTGACCATTGAAGAAGTTTTATTGAATTACTCTGTAATAAGTCCAGAAATACAAAGAAAAGGAACAAAGGGCAATAACTCTATAAATACTGAAGATGGAGTTATAGTTCTTGTGCACTGCACTTCCTCCCTCTTTTTGTGCTTGACCATTGTATGAAGTTGTTTTGAATTTCAACCAGTACGTTTTAAGTTATGCTCCAGACAAGGAAAAGTATCAAAGGGCAGTAACTCTGTATTTTGTCAAAATGGAGTTATGGCTCTTATGCACTGCACTTCCTTTTAATGTCCTTGACAACTGTATGAAGTTGTATTGAATTCCAAACAGTAGTTTTCAAGTTATGCTCTGGACAAGGAAAAGTAACAAAGGGCAATAACTCTGTAATTTGTCAAGATGGAGTTATGGTTCGTGTGCACTGCACTTCCTCTCAATGTGCTTGACCATTGTATGAAGTTATATTGAATTCCAACCATTAGTCTTCAAGTTATGCTCCGGACAAAAAAAAGCAATGGAAAAGTAACAAAGGGCAGAAACTCTGTAATTAGTCAAGATGGAGTTATGGTTCCTGTACACTGCACTTCCTCTCAATGTGCTTGACCATTGTATGAAGTTATAATGAATTCCAACAATTAGTCTTCAAGTTATACTCCGGACAAAAGAAAGCAATGGAAAAGTAACAAAGGGCAATAACTCTGTTATTACTTTAGATAGAGTTATCGTTCTTATGCACTGCACTTTCCCTTACTGTGTTTGACAATTGTATGCAGTTGTTTTGAATTCCAACCAGTAATTTTCAAGTTATGCCCCAGACAAGGAAAAGTAACAAAGGGCAATAACTCTGTAATTAGTCAAGACAGAGTTATGGTTCTTGTGCACTGCACTTCCTCTCAATGTGCTTGACCATTGTATGTAGTTATATTGAATTCCAACCATTAGTCTTCAAGTTATGGTCCGGACAAAAGAAAGCAATGGAAAAGTAACAAAGGGCAATAACTCTGTAATTACTTTAGATAGAGTTACGGTTCTTGTGCACTGCACTTCCCCTTAATGTGTTTGACAATTGTATGAAGTTGTTTTGAATTCCAACCAGTAGTGTTCAAGTTATGCCCCGGACAAGGAAAAGTAACAAAGGGCAATAACTCTGTAATTAGTCAAGATAGAGTTATGGTTCTTGTGCACTGCACTTCCTCTCAATGTGCTTGACCATTGTATGTAGTTATATTAAATTCCAACCATTAGTCTTCAAGTTATGGTCCGGACAAGGAAAATGCAACGGACGTCTGGACCGACCGACCGACCGACCGCCCGACCGACCACCGGGTGACTCCTATATACCCCCCCAAACTTCGTTTTTGGGGGTATAATAAAATTACACAATTAGCTAGAGACTTGCTGCTTCAAGAAGTTAAATAAATTCTTCTAAAAATGTACTCATAGTTCATGCATATTTAAGTTATCCATACATCAAAATGGCCACTTATTCTTAAAACAGTATGGATTTTTTTTATATCAGATTTTTTCTGCTTCATCTTGTATAAAGTCAATCACATCTTCTCGGCCTTTTCCGTTAAAATTTGGATAAAGACCTTGAACACAATAGAAAGACTACACAGAATTGATGACTCGAACACAATAGTAAGACTACACAGAATGGATGACTTGAACACAATAGTAAAAACAAACAGAATGCAGACATAGAACACAATAGAAAGAATACCCAGAAAATGATGACTTCAACACAATAGTAGGAATACACAGAATGGATGACTTGAACACAATAATAAGACAACACAGAATGGATGACTTGAACACAATAGTAAGACAACACAGAATGCAGACATAGAACACAATAGAAAGAATACACAGAAAATGATGACTCTAACACAATAGTAAGAATACACAGAATGGAAGACTTGAACACAATAGTAGGAATACACAGAATGGATGACTTGAACACAATAGTAAAAACTACACAGAATGCAGACATAGAACACAATAGAGAGAATACACAGAAAATGATGACTCTTACAATAGTAAGAATATACAGAATAGAAGACTTGAACACAATAGTAAGAATACACAGAATGGATGACTTGAACACAATAGTAGGAATACACAGAATGGATGACTTGAACCCAAAAGAAGGAAAACACAGAATGGGTGACTTGAACACAATAGTAGGAATACACATAATGGATGAATTGAACACAATAGTAAGACTACACATAATGCATAACTTGAACACAATAGTAAGATACACAGAATGGATGACTTGAACACAATAGAAAGAAGACACAGAATGGATGACTTGAACACAATAGTAGGAATACACAGAATGGATGACTTGAACACAATAATAAGACAACACAGAATGGATGACTTGAACACAATAGTAAGACAACACAGAATGCGGACATAGAACACAATAGAAAGAATACACAGAAAATGATGACTTGAACACAATAGTAAGAGTACACAGAATGGATGACTTGAACACAATAGTCAGAATACACAGAATGGATACAGTACTTTGGTCTTAATTGAACTATTAGGTAGTTGAAATGAAACAATAAGGTTGTTGAAATGAAAATACAAAATGTAATGAATTAATTAGGATTTGGTTATAATTTAACATCAGTCAGCATTTTCAAATGAATTATCTAAATGTCAGAGATATTTTTCAATCATAATTTTACCGAAACAGATTTAATTTTCGTTTAGATGTCAAATGTATAGATTCTTTATACATTACACAAAGATAACACCCTCTGTTTTTGTTAACATCTAAAACCATGTGGTTTCAACCAAAATAAAGGTGAAGTAAACTAAATATTTTAGAAAACAAAGTGCATGCGCAATTTCACTTGTTGGTTTTAGTGCTTTTTAACGCATTTAGTCAATAAACAGGTGGCAAACTTTTCCATAGAAGGTCAAGTAAAATACCTCTGTCAAAGTTGTACTGTTCGGATACAATCTCCGACCAATATCTGGACGCTTGTGCTGACATCTTCTTCGGTTTCTCAAGTCGTTTTGTAGACAATGCAGATATATGTTTCTGGAACTCAGTTTCGCTCATTTCATTGAACGTCTCCTGCAAATTAAGCAATAAAAAGTTTTAAAAATTTAATTTAGGCACTTTGTTTCATTTTAACTTATCTGAAATTCCTAATAAAATAAACATAGAAATGTTACTTTTAAGCTGTTTCTAATGAATATGTCCTCCAAACTCTGATCTGACAATATTGTAACCTGTGATCCGGAAATCACGTAATCCGGGATCACATCAAACATAGAGGGAAACGAATAACTTCTTTTGTTTCGACATTTGTACTTATTTGTGGCACCAAAAATTATTATTGATTAATTATATCATATAAATGATGACCAATTTATTGATTTAAACTTAAGCTTGAAATATGATAAGGGCTTACACAATTACATAAATTGATACACGACCCTAGGCATACCGGATACCAGAATTTTTACAGACCACTGTAATGTGACACATGATCATGTTAAATGAATTATCTACTCCTAATTATATTGGCTACTGCGTTAGTAGATTATGAAAAGGAAAAACACGATAAATTGAGACTTTTGTCAACATTCTTTCTTGAATTAAGATGTCAGTAAAAATGGATTTACACATTAAACCTTACTAGATCAGTGTTTACAGTTAACTTGATTTTTTTTTTGCATTTTACCATCTGGAGGCCAGTGGCTTTAAGTTTGACCAAGACTCCTGAACTTCTTACTATAATCTTATAACCAGTTCTCTACCTCATCATAATATCATACAATGTATATGTAAAAAAAATTCCAAAATCTAATGACATAGAAAGTTGTTATTACAGTGTCTTGGTCTCCAAACAAGTATAATTCAAAGATAAACGACATAGAGATATCAACAGACATAATTATACACTAGTCTGCTTATAATGAAAACCTCTGGTATATGAAGGAAAACAAAATGCATTTTCTAATGCAAAAATCTATAATGACCAACCTCCATACTGTGTAGGAATGCCTCTATCCTGCCTTCCACATACTCTGGTGTCCTGTCAGACTGTACAATAACCCTCAAACCTTGTACACCACTCTGTCTTCGTATACCGCTGAACACAATGTAACCTGAAAATATTATATCAATAAAGCAAATAAACACTCAAGGAACAAACAAAACCAAAAAATGTGACTCAGACTGGACACAGATCCGATGCCCCAACATTTGTTTGTTTGTTTTATTGGGTTTTACATCACACAGACACAGTATAGGTCATATGGCAACGTTCCCGCTTCACTGGTGGAGGAAGACCTTGGGTGCCCTTCCATGCATTATTTCAGGCATGAACGGGCACCTGAGTAGAACCACTGACAGTCTGTTAGCTAGCTGGATAGCTTCCTCACATGAAAAAATTCAAAGTCCATGCCGGGATTCGAACCCATAGTGGTATGCCTACACATTCCACTGTTGAGTCAGTCTACCGATGTTCTGTGTAATGACAGGACAGACACAAAAGGTAAAAACTGTATGTTAATAAAATCAAAGATTTATTCAATTTTTGTTATGCTTGATTACCATTCCTTAAATTTATATTAATAAATTTTTTATTTAAATGCCTAATGGTTTCCTAGCAGTTTTCAGTGGCGTAGCTTCCTATAGGCACTGTAGGCACGTGCCTACACTTTTTTCTTAGAAATGAAAAATTAAATGATCACAAAAATGCAACAAGAGGGCCATGATGGCCCTGAGGTCGCTCACCTGTATATAGGCCCCCCACCCCCATGCCAATTTTTACCCAAAGGCTTTTATTTGTTTATTTGAACAGACTTGGTAGACACCCATAAGAAGATGTTTCATGCTAAACATCTAAGTTCTAGCTCATTGGCTTTTTTAAAAGAAGATTTTTAAAGTTTTTACTATACACATATACATGTAGTTAAAAACAATGTCACCCCTGGGGCAGGGCCAGTTTTGACCCCCGGGCGTTTATTTTAACAAACTTTGTACATATTTACTTAAAGATGTTTCATGCTTAATATCTAAACTCTAGCTATTTGGGTTTTTCCAAAGAAGATTTTTAAGTTTTTGCTATACACATATAAGGAAAATCAATGACCCCCCCCCCCCGGGCGGGGCCAGTTTTGACCCCAGGGCTTTTATTTGAACATACTTGGTAGACACCCATTAGAACATGTTTCATGCTAAATATCTTAGCTCTAGCTCTTTGAGTTCTTTAAAAGAAGATTTTTTAAGTTTTTACTATATGCATATAGGGAAAATCAATGACCCCCGGGGCGGGCCAATTTTGACCCCAGGGTTTTAATTTGAACAAACTTGGTAGTGATTCACTAGAAGATGTTTCATGCCAAATATCTAAGCTCTAGCTCTTATGGTTCTTTAAAAGAAGATTTTTTAAGTTTTTACTATATGCATAAAGGGAAAATCAATGACCCCCGGGGCGGGGCCAATTTTGACCCCAGGGCTTTAATTTGAACAAACTTGGTAGACACTCACTAGAAGATGTTTCATGCTTAATATCTTAGCTCTAGCTCTTTGGGTTCTTTAAAAGAAGAATTTTTAAGTTTTTACTATATGCATATAGGGAAAATCAATGACCCCCTGGGTCAGGGCCAATTTTGACCCCAGGGCTTTTATTTGAACAAACTTGGTAGACATTCACTAGAAGATGTTTCATGCCAAATATCTAAGCTCTAGCTCTTACGGTTCTTTAAAAGAAGATTTTTTAAGTTTTTACTATATGCATATAGGGAAAATCAATGACCCCCAGGGGCGGGGCCAATTTTGACCCCAGGGCTTTTATTTGAACAAACTTGGTAGACACTCACTAGAAGATGTTTCATGCCAAATATCTAAACTCTAGCTCTTATGGTTTTTTAAAAGAAGATATTTAAAGTTTTTTCTTTTGGTTGCCATGGCAACCAGAGTTCTGCATGGAATTAAATTCTTTGAACAATTTTTAAAGGTGACCACCAAAGGAACATTCCTGTGAAGTTTGGATGAAATTGGCTCAGTGGTTCATGAGGAGATGTCATTTAAAGCAAAAGTTTACGGACGGCCGGACGCCGGACGAAAAGCGATCACAAAAGCTCACCCTGTCACTTTGTGACAGGTGAGCTAATAAAAAATTAAGGGTAAGGGCGGTATATATGTGTAGGTCCTAATTTTAGAAAATAAACTGTCACCACATATGAAAATATATCGAGTTTTATTTCATAACAAAGTGTTGCCGTGTTATAAAGTTGTTCTGTGGTAAAACCTATCAGAGACGGATGAAGTTTTTGACAATACAAAAGTTTTTGCATGAGGGCTTCGTTATTACAAGTATGCACGACAATGATCGGCCATATCCAGATATCAGTAGTGCTAGCTAACTTTATACAACTGACAAGGAGGCTAAGCGATATCTTTCTAATGAAGCCTTGCCATCTTGTCTTTCTTATTCTCTTTCCTTCTTAAGGTATTCATGATTTAATTACTTGTACGTTTTCTGTTCAAACTGCACCTCCGCACAAAACATAAAGTAGAATTGAAACCTGGCAATTCCATAAAGTCGATTTGAAGTAAACGTGAAACATAATCTGTGCAATTACATAATTTTCTTGAAAATGTATTTTAATTATACATGTACGTATATAATATATACAAGTAATGTGTTTGAATACACATCAAAATCTGCATTAATTAGCGTAGTGGTGGAGAGTTTGCTTTTAAAGCTAGCGATGCAATTATTTCTTTTATCGTAATTTATATTTTAATGATATTTTATTTATTCATTACATTGCACATAAAGTAACATTTACAAACATTTCACAACAATGAAATTAAATTATCACTTCTGAATTCTTTTTCTTACATTACTGTAGGTAACATACTTATTGAATTACTAGAGTTGTAAGTTTGCTTTGTCTTTACTTTCTTTATATGTTTGACTTAACGTAAACCGTCATATTCTATGTTCTATATATGTTTCACCATAAACAATAAAAAGATGCTTTCATTCATGAATTATGGGAGCATAAAATCTTATTGAGAAAATGTATTGGATGCTGTTTGTGTGTGTTAGATATTTCATCATCAACCGATTGTATTATTAAGGGTACGTTTAGTTAATGACGTTCGATCTTGCTGATCTTTGTTATCATTATTTTCTAATTATATATTTAGACAACCTTATTTTGAATTTTTAAATTTTGATGCTTGCTTTAATATTTGCATAAATTTGTTCTTTTTAAATGTATAGTTCTGGAATCATATATCATTACCCCAAAGTTATATACAGAAAAAAAGCTCTTTTTGGCAAAATGTCACAGTAGCTTTGCGTTGAGTAAGTGATATAAGTATGGTCATCTTTATATTGATTAAAAATGTAACCAAAATGCTGCAAAATAATTAATTCTTGTCCTTCAAAACATGCCTTAACATACCCCAGAATGCAGCTGTGGCAATGTAGATTTTCAAAAATTTTCGGGGGAGCATGCCCCCGGACCCCCCTAACACAATTGCCTACACATTGGTTTCTTTCAAGCTACGCCCCTGCAGTTTTGGTGCTATTTATCATTTCCTCGATCCAGTACAGCTTACTTTTACTGATAAAGCATTAGTGTTAAACTTCATCAAATTTTAGAGATGTTTGTTTTCTAGGCAAGATACCAATAAAAATACATTGGTTTATATGTTTTGAAGATTTGAGTGTTATTTTAAGCTACCTACAATTAAAATTAAAATAAGCAACAGCTAGGGAATCCCAAGAAGAATCAAACAAAGTGCAAAATTAATTTCCACAAACTTATGTCAATCATTGTACATGTATTTTCATATTTTTTTTATTTCTTTTTCATTTTTTTCTTTTTGCTTGAATTTTGAAATAGATAGATATCCATTACTATCAGCACAGAAAATGATTGTTACACCCTTTAAACCAATTATTTTAGTAGTTTAATTTAAAGTTAAAATAAAATCTAATTCAATAAAATTTATATTTATAGTATCAGTTGCATTTATGTTATATTTAGTCAAGACTGTCTGTAATACAGTTTCCAATCACATTCATCATTTACGTCATTCTTGCTTTACTAAATACACCAAACCTCAATTTAAAGTCTCATCCGAAAGACTGATAAGTAATTTTATTTGGCCAGTCAGGGAATCGAACCCACAATGTTAAGATTACATGTCTCACGCTTTAACTGATTGAGCAATGCCTGCTAGCTGTGAAATTATTATAAATCACATGGCCAATAAATATCAATAAATCAACCAATTAGAATTCAATACATGCATAAAACATCAAAAAGGATAACCAACAATATCTACCATGTTATACTATTAACTATAATAGTTGTACTACTCGGAAAAGTACATAACATTATAATCTATAAATGTGTTGTTTTTTTCTCATGGTTATACTAATATAAAATAGCATACAAATTTTTTTTTCAAGCTATAAAAACATCATTTGATATGGGTTAATCGCATGTTGCTGTTTTTTTTACCATATTCAGAAAAAAGTCATTACAATCGTACATGAAAAATAATACAAAAATGGTCAGAACAATGGTCTACTTGATCTCCTCAATAACGAGCGTGGTTCCTGAATAATTCCACTAATGGGCAATATTAAGCTTCAATCAGTCATTTGTTCCAGGAATTACCAGACTTGTACACTCAGAGAGGATGCAGGTAATTTTACAATACTAATGCTGGTACATTAAGGTACATTAGGGTAATTGTCTTAATGTTCAAAATGACAAACTTATTGTCAGAACTTCAGCAAAAACAACATTGTTATGGCTTAATAGCTTTTACTGAACCAATTTTAATCCAGAGACAGAAAAATGGTCTAATAAGTATATTGAATAGATAATATAGCATGTAATGGAATTGGACAGCAGTCATCTACTGATTAAGGTGTCTGCCTCTAAACCTAGGGGTCATGGGTTCAAGCCTCATAGGGGTCATGGGTTCAAGCCTCACAGGGGTCATGGGTTCAAGCCTCACAGGGGTCATGACACCAAGACAAAATTACAATTATGAAGTATGTATCTTCACAAAGTCAGTTTTAAGTACATATACTATTCCAATAAAGATAAAACATTTCATTCTAGATAGTCACAAGGGAAGGTCAAAGGCTATTAAGTCAACCTTTTTATTTCATGTAAATAAATGAAAAATTTATGCTTCATACAAAGTCACAATTTAAATAACTTTAATCTTGAAATGTATCCTCTTTTGACAGCATTATGGACAATGGGAAATTCATTTCCCCCTCTCCCAAGTAGTGAAAGCACCAAAACTTGCAATCAATGAACATTTATGATTCAACTGCAATATAGTACAGGTTCCATATTTGTATTTTATGCTGTAACATTTCAAATTTTCACAAGGGATTAAAATTCACTTATATTGCAAAATGTATGATTTTCTTGAAAAGAAATGTTTAATAAGTACCTAAGTATCAAATAAATTTAACAGAAATGAAAGTAGAAATTTAACCTCACCAATTCATCCAAAAATGTTGATTTTGCGAAATTATGACCTTGCAAAAATATCTGATACATGTATTGCAGTATATAGGTAAATTATGCTTTTGACAATGATTTATTAGTTACTTTATATAAATAATAATCAATAAAAATTTTGTTTAACAATGACATAAATTATATAGAGGGTCATCTTCAAACACATGAAAATTACTGTACTGTCCTGAAAAATTTAGCTGTGTAGTTTCCCAAAAGTGGTCCACTGACCTAGAAATCCATGGATTTCTGTGGAAAATTGGCATCCCTGTAAATTGGGCAGATTTGTAAGAGAAATCATGGCTGTACAACATTTAACCATTGTTTAAGATCCTTAAGGCTAAGCACATGAACTTTTGTATAAAAACAACAATAAATAAAATAACAACATATAAATGTCAAAATGTTTTATGTAGAATACACTTAGTCTTGTACTTTATTATTTTGAATAACAGCTTATTTGTTATTTGGAAATGTCATTTATTTATTCCAGATGCGAGTTCTTTCTTGGTAACACAAAAACATTCTTCTAATATTTTGTATATTAAGTTTCTCAAAAAACGTCCTAGATGATTTATGAATACCATTATCTACTGACTTGACATAGTTTAGACAATGGAACTTTTGTACTTTAAAGTCAGCCTTCTTGATAATACTGCAATAACTTACTTGACAATTTTGTACAATATTGTAAATATATTGTTGTTTTCATATAGAAATATTTAAATAATGCAAATTGAAGAATAAAGGAACATTAGTATAGTAACTGTTAATATACTTATTACATACATGTACTTAATACCAAAGATTGACCTACCTAATTGTTCCTTTGTACGTAATATATTGAAGCATGGTTCGCTGATAATTTGGACAAACAATTCAAGCAGCATATTGGTATGTGTTGCTTGTTGACCGCATTGATAATATATCTCTATACTAGAACTCTTGTGTACTTTGTTTGTCTCTTGATACACGTAATAACAACCTACAAAACAAAACAAACATGTAAAATTATTGGTAATTTTAACACCCCTAATTTTACTTATTGAACAAAGAAGGACCCAAAGTATGTGTTATTATGCAATAAAATCACTGTTGACCTTCTATATTTAGACATGTGATGTAACCAAAAGACATGTGATGTAACCACTAAAAATGCGACGCGCTGAAAATAAGTATGGAAACAATTCAGCTTAATATCAGGTACTGGTTGGGGACCACCAAAACCGGACAACCATCAAACCCGGACGGCCCCGAAAATGGTTAATTTAGTATTTTCTTTGTTCAGTGGTTGTCAGTCACTTTTTTATCAACAATAAGTGCATGTTTCTATTAGAATTAAGTAAATAAATTTATTTCAACCTCCGTAAATGGTAATATTTTAATGTCTATTTCAAGAATGTTGACGTTGAAATTCGGGGGTCAAGAAAGCAATGCCTGACCTCATATACCAGCTATAATTATTTGCGGAGTGAATAATAGAATATCCAAAACTTCAGCATTTGTTGCTGACATATTGTAAATCATGTTACAAATCAAATATTAAAACACCCAAGCTTTTATCTGAATTAAATCACATCATGTACATATCTGTTCGAACACATGGTACTGTAGTGTAGACAATTTAGGTAATTTTGATACCCTCCTTGTCGAGCCTCAGATATAAGTGTCAATACAATCAGAAATAAACAAACTAGTTTGTTAGTTAGGACAAGAACCTAGCTGAACTGTGTCAAATTGTTTTGTCTCTACATTAAAAATTATGAAATCTGTATGGAAAAATGTTTCAAAAGTGTACGGTTGATGGTCTCCAACCAGTACAGCAGCATTTATTTGTCAATGTCGTGTTAGCATTTTTCCTATTGAACATAGAAGAACAGAAAGTGTGTGTTTTTATGCAATAAAATCACAGTTTGACCTTCTATATTTAGTCATGTGACTTAATCATTATATATATATGACGTAACCACTAAAAATGCAAGCCCTGAAAATAAGTACAGAAACAAATCCGGCACAATTTAGCTGAATATCAGGTACAGCAGCATAAATTAGTTGATGTCGTGATATAATTCCTCGCATCCAAACTCCAAACAGTGATTTTATTTAGCAAAAAAAAAAACATAGTTTGGGATATATTATTTCTTAATTACTGAATAAATGGTTAGTTTTCAAATTCAGAGTTGCTATTTGCTAAAAAGTTTTATGTTTTATTAAAAAACTAGTTTAAAACATAAATCTAGCATACCATCAGGAAGTTGAATCTCTCTGAGACGTCTCCGTTGACTCGTTAACAACTCTTTTGTTGACACATGCTCCCTGAGTATATGCTCAACCAGATCTGTCATCTCTATTGATTTCTATAGGGTAATAAAATAACACCAATGAGTATTTGAGCAGCGCCATGACAAAACCAACATAATGGGTTTGCGACCAGCATGGATCCAGACCAGCCTGAGCATCTGCGCAGTCTGATCAGGATCCATGCTGTTCGCTATCAGTTTCTCTACTTGTTAAAGGGTTTGTAAGCGAACAGCATGGATCCTGATCAGACTTCATAAAATAGCAACACAGTCTTGATAACAAAATCTAGCCACTGTCTTATATAGCAACTCTGTCTTATACTAGTAAAATACTAGCACTGGTAATACCAACATTTGGTCATGAAATATCAACAATGGATTATTAAATACCACCACTGGGTAATAAAATACCAATACATGTATTTGAGTAATTAAATAACAACACTGGGTCATAAAATACTAACTTCTGGTAATAAAATACCAACAATTGGGTAACTAAATAACAACATTGGGTCATGAAATACCAACAATAGGAAATAAAATATCAATATTTGGGTAATTTAATACCAACACTAGGAAAAACAATATCACCACTGGGTTATAAACACATGTACCAATATTGGGTAATAACATACCAAAATACTAACATCTGGTTATAAAATATGAACATAAGTAATAAAATACAAGCATAATATAAAAATTCTAGTCTAAATTGACTTTTTACTTTTGGCTGGTTTGCCTTCTTGAAATAAAGTAGGTAGTGGATTTATTTTTAAAAGGACAAGTTTGTCATACAAACTCAGATATTTTATTGACATCATCAAAACATAAGTTTTTTAATGTGTAACTTAAACATAGCGTTAATACTTTTTTATTTTTAAAAAATCAAGTTCAATGTTGTGTCATAGCACTTCATTATAGCTGTAAGTTTTATCACCACTGTATAAGCCATATTTGAGCCGTGTCATGACAAAACCAACATTGTGTGTTTGCGACCAGCATGGATCCAGACCAGCCTGCGCATCCGCACAGTCTGATCAGCATCCATGCTGTTCGCTTTCAGTTTCTGTACTTGTAATAGGGTTTGTAAGCGAACAGCATGGAACCTGATCAGACTGCGCGGATGCGCAGGCTGGTCTGGATCCATGCTGGTCGCAAACCCACTATGTTGATTTTGTCATGACACGGCTCAAATTAAGACTTGGTGCGGTAATGGGTGTGGTAATTAGCTATGACATCGCAAAATCTTTTACATATAACATATCATTTTAAAGATATACTGATATAAGTTACCAGGCTTGTTTTACACTTTGAATAATCACGACTATACAACAATGCATAGGATTACACTTCAAAGGATTGTATCATTTAATTAAAAGAAGGTGTTATGATTATTGACACATGGTATAGTCTATTTGATATTAATTCACTTATATTTCCTTTGTACTTTATTGGTCTCTGTCCTATTAAAAGCATCACCACTGCACTTTATTACAATTATAATAACTGGGATTGACCAATTTATGTGTATGTTTTAAGGTTGGTCTTATCTGACTAGCAAATGATCTGACAAGTATAAAACTTTCAGGGGCAGACAACTCAAAAAAGTTAGATGGTGACTTTGCATGCTTAAAGAGAAACATAATTCAAACAATTTTGTTGAAAAACAATAGGGGATTGCCATCTGACTTTTTGAGTTTTCTGCCCCTGAATTATTTTTTTCTCTCTTTTTGGTCACTTTTCGATAACTCAAAATCAAGCATACAAATATTTCATTTGATTTTAAATTATTTGAATAACAGATCTTAAGTTTATGATATATCAACATAATTTTAAATATTTCCAAAGTAAGATTTACACCAACATTTTCACACAAGGAATGTCTTGCATCATATTTATGAAATAAAACCATGAAAAAAATGTGTTACAGGATCTTTAATTCAGCTACATATAATAATGTTCCTAGCAGATCAGAGTTTTACATGCTCAAAAAACTTACAAAATAACAAAACATGAAAACATAAACCAAAAGGTAAAATGACCGCTAGCTGCATGAGTTCAAACCCCATCAGGGGAAGTTGTTTCCTGGAGCATGACACTTTACACTCATTGCTCAGTAATAATATTGAATGGATTCTAAAAGTGTGTCTATAAGCTTATTTTAGTTTATTGTGTTGATAGCTACAAGCTTATTGAAACACTCTCAAATCTGTTCCTGGAACCAACCAGTACTAAGCAATGAATGTGAAACAACGGCTTGCCCCTTGACAGCGTTTGAACCCACGAGGTCAGCAATCCTTACATTCCTTGTCTGACGTGCTAACCACTTGGCCATGCGGCCACTATAAGCTTATAGCTTCATACACCAAACCAAAAAGTGTTCTTTATCTAAAAACTGTTAATATATCTGAGATATATACACCTGTATGTAAATACATGTATATGATCTAATTAATCTGAGAACCTGTTACCTTATAAATTCAACAATCCCTTCTGATCTAGAATTACACTGACAAGTGACAAGATAGATATATCCGTTTAACACATACCTGTTTGGTTACATTTCCATACACCAATCCTTCTATATGCATCTTTGAAAACAGCTGTGGTAGAAATGATGTAAGCTTCTCTAATGTCACCTCTGAATAAAGAAAGAGGAATATCTGAATCAGGGAATAAAATCGGTAACTAATAATCAAATATTATGTTCACAAATGTACTTATAAAATAATGTTAAGTACTGTAAAGAAACAAACCTAAAAACTCATTCACATTTTTATGAAACTTAAAAAAACTAGAAATGTGTTGTCACGCCACAGATGCCCCCGCATGCAGCCAAAATTTCAGATGTTATAATATTTAGTTCCAAATTTGTTTGCACAAATTATTTTTTTCATTTTAAGTTCAAAGCCCTTAAAACTATTCAATATTAACACAAACCATTTTTTAAACAAAGTTCAAGGCACTGAAACTATTCAGAGTTAAGCTTTTGTAAAATGCATATTGTATATTTGTATAGGCAAAATAATGGCTACATACATTTCCACAAAAGTATGAGTGCTGAAACTGAAAATTCAAAATTATTCCAACATTCAAGAGAGATAACTTTGTCCAAAATCATTGAACCATGATCAAATTAAAACTTGAACTGCTTATTCCTAAGATGTATCTATATATCAAATTTGAGTTGAATGTGTACAACCATTGGAGAGATAATGAAATAAACTTAAAATTCTGATTTTTTTTCAAAGTTGAAGTTCAAGAGGGATGACTCTGTCAGCTATCATCAAACCATGACAAAATTAGAAATTGACCAATGCCTTCTTATGACATATCCATATCTTTATTTTGAGTTAAATATGTACAATTGTTCGGGAGATAATGAATGGGAACTGAAAATTTCCTTTTTCTTCAAAGTTAAAGGGGCATAACTCTGCCAAAAATCATCGACCATGACAGAAATTCAAACTTGACCTGGGTATTTCTTAGACGTATTCATATGTCAAATTTGAGTTGAATGTGTAATACCCTAGAGGAGATAATAAACAGAAACTGAAAATTTCATATTATTTTCAAAGTAAAAGGGACATAACTCTGCCAAAAATCATCAAACAATGACCAAATTCAAACTTGACCTGTGCATTCCTTTGACGAATCCATATATCAAATTTGTGTAGAATGTGTAATACCGTTGGGGAATAATTGAATGGAAACTGAAAATTTCATATTATTTTCAAAGTAAAAGGGGCATAACTCTGCCAAAAATCATCAAACCATGACCAAATTCAAACTGAGTGAGACTAAAAAAAGGATTGGAGCACCACACTAAATACCGTATTCCGGTATATACCGGGCAAGGCGCTTGAATCATAAAATGCTAAAATCTTGCCTTTTTACCCAACGGAATGAACTGAAATAGGTCTAATTCATCTTTTCACACCGATTTATGTATGATAATGAATGAAAAATGTAAAAATCGGCGAAAAAAACGATATTTGTCTATTTTGTGATCATGATTTCTGCAAGCGTCTAGAGGTACTGCTCCAATCCTGTATTGAGCTAAATCCATTCAAACTTGACCTGTATTTTCTCATGACATATCCATATGTCAAATTTAAGTTGAAAGTGTAATACTGTTGGGGAGATAATGAATGGAAACTGAAAATTTCATATTATTTTCAAAGTAAAAGGGGCTTAACTCTGCCAAAAATCATCAAACCATTACCAAATTCAAACTTGACCTGTATTTTCTCATGACATATCCATATGCCAAATTTGAGTTGAATGTGTGCAACCGTTACTAAGATAATGAATGGAAACTGATGATGACAGAATGACGAAACAGGGTAACACTATATGCCCCAGCCATTATATGGCCGGGGCATAAAAACTAAATAAAAAGAAGAAAAGTACAATGTATTGTCAAATAAACAAGACAATTTAATGTCGTAAAGTCACTGTCTATTATAAACAATTTAAAAAAAAACCCCACATTTTTCCACATTGAACATAGAAGAACTGGAAGTGTGTGTTATTATGCTATAAAATCACTGTTGACGTTCTATATTTAGACATGTGACATAACCATTATATACATGTGACATAACCACTAAAATGCAACGCGCTGAAAGTATGGTAACAAATCAGGCGCAATTTAGCTTTATATCAGGTATGGAAGCATTCATTTGTTGATGTTGTGTTAGAATCGAAATAATATCTCCAAATCGGTGATTTTAGTGCTTGATAAAATCACTGTCGTTCGGATGTGCATCATTATATTACTCGGGCTAAGCCCTTGTGATATAATTCCTGGCATCCAAACTCTAAACAGTGATTTAATAGAGCGATAAAATCACAGTTTGGGATATATTATTTCTTACGTAATATCACTAAGGGGAAACCTGCACATTTGTCAATGTATGATGAATAAATAAAAGCAGTAAAAGCAGAAGAGTAAAAATCTAATTTTAGCACCAGCAACCTTGACCCAGGTTACCCCATACTTCACCCAAAGTATATAACAACTAAATATGAAAGACATCAGTCAATTAATTAAGGCTGAATCAGTAAGATTGTATTTTATAAACGGTAACCTTGACCTTCACCAAAGTGACAGCTTACTCCACTCAGAAATAGAGGACTACCAAAGATATTTATCTACCAGATGTGAAAGATAATCAGTCAATAAATAAAAGCTGTATAAGCAAAACTAAAGAACTCTATTTTTAACACTTGTGACCTGGGCCTTAGTGACCCCTTTCTCCATCCAATGTTAGAGGACAAGGTTAGTATTTACCTACTAAATATTAAAGACATCAGCTAATATAACAAAATATGTATAAGCAAGCATAAAATCTTCTTTAAGCAGTTAACTGGTGACCTTGACCTTTATAAGTGAGACCTTACTCTACTAAAAATAAGGACCGCACAAGGTTCTTATCTACCAAATATTAAAAACATCAGTCAATAAACAAAGGCTGCATGAGCAAAGTTTTACACAAACATTACATCTGTGAAAAAAACACACCAAAAATCAAAGAAAAAAAACCCCAAAATGTTCATATGTCTGTCTAAAATGATCAAATCACACTAAATTAAAGGCTTTTTATTAAAGTGACTGTAATGGTAGTTTATAGGGCTGGGAATTATATTCGAATATTCGAATATTCGAAACACTACCGAATATTCGAACATTGAAAAACGAATACGAATATTCGAAAAAAAAATTGTTATATAACTTTCAAATTTCAATTAAGATCGTAAATTAAACCATTAACCTGTACTTGACCAGGTCTTCACACGTTTGTATGACACGTGTCAACAATTATCGCCAATTAACTGTGAAAACTTTGGGGTCTAGTTGATCAAAAAGGCACCCGTTTCACAGTTTGCAATTTACCTGTTAAACAGTTTATAATTAAATTCTTTCCGATTTTAATTATCTTATTTATTGTTTTCTGTGCTATAATTTTTCCGATTAATTAATAATTGTCTTAAATTTTATGAAGACGAATAAATCGGCACGCATTATGTGTTACTAAATCATGGGAAGTGTCTATATTCCGTCAGAATATATTTATTCCGTAGATGGAAAACGAATATTCGAACATCAGATTCCTTATTCGTTCCCAGCCCTAGTAGTTTACTCTCCAGATCATGGTAGTAAGTCACTTTGAATTCACCAGAACATTCTGTGAAATTCTGGCTTATATCCATTAATATATGAATGAGGAGTTGGTCGCAGAAGATATTGTTTTTGACCAGCCAAGTTACTAATAGTAAGTTTTCTGTCACAACACCTAGTTTACAATAGCCATTGCTCACCTATTATTGGGGGCAGAGATATGGTAATAACAAATAGTAAATTAAGTCCAATTTTGCATTAAATACGCAAAATGTTACTTGAATTGTTAATACATAAGCATTTCCTCATTCAAATTGAATTTTTGAAAAGTGTGCTAGGGTTCGAGACTAAATTAACCTCTGCAACCAGTGCTGACCAAGATCTGCTTACACAACCAAGCTATTTAATTTAAGTGTGCACTGCTGACAATTATGTCAATACATATTTGGAAAATTTCCCTAAAATTTGATAAATGGTGTTGCCTTGAAGGACGTCGGACAAGTGCATTAAGATATATAGGGTGGTAGGGGTAAAGATTTTTGCAGTGACACTTAAGATTTATGATACCTTCTCAGATTTATTTCAGACCAAAACAATGATATCGTAATGGAAACCATTAAACTTCATAAATGAAGTTGAACAACTTTAACAACAAAATATCTTCCACTACAAAGCATTTACTGTATTTTGCATACTAGGATGGGTAACTCTTCTTCTAAATAAAACAACATGCCAAGTAGAGTGACAGAACATGATTCCAAAAACTTTATACAAATATTAGCCACAAGCCTTAAATCTGAGACCAAACATTTTGTCAGGCAAGTGAACTTATATAAAGTACAGCCCAAGTTTAGCTTCACATGTTTTTTAACAATGTTACAGTTATTCGAGTTCACTGCTTTAAATTTTGGCTTGCTGGCTAAACGTTTCTACCCATGCGACCAGTGCAGACAAAGATTTGTGCTGTTTGCTATTCAGTCACTATATGTTTTGGAATTTTTCCCTCAAAATGATAAATGGTATTGTCTAGATAGAAAGATGGACAAGTTTATTTAAGGTATTTAGCATGTTCAAGGACCAAAAAAAGAGAGAGAGTAAAATTTGAATTCTTACATAGATTAGCAGGGGAGGCTAAAACAAAAAGATGTGCAAAAAACTAATAAAGAAATATACTCAGTTTTCACTTTTGTGCTATTCTAGGCCAATCTGAGTGAAAAGCATTCCAACCCTTTTCAATAATGGGTCATTTTTCACAGTAAGAATATTTATTCTGGAAAAATGGAGTGAGCGATTAATTTAAAATTTTGCACACAAGTTATTGTTCTAGACCTACATCAAATGGAACTTACATCTAGACAAATTATTTCCAGTCCCGGCATGTCAAAAAAAAAAACTCAGTGGAGTCTCTAAAAGGGTTACTATACTTAAAACAATATTTAAACACAATCACAACAATATATTGGAAGAAGACCAACAAAATACAAACCTTCTAGACTGTTCAGAAGCTCAACCTGAGTCCACAGTAATTCTGACATGACAACTGAGGTAAAATATACAGCATGTTGGTGAGGTTGCTCAGCAACAAAGTTCTTCAGGCCTCGACCATACTGTAATGTCACAAATAATCATTGTAAAAGTCAATGCATTTTTTACAGTCATACTATAATTCAATATTTATACAGTGCATACTTTTTATAGTCTTTAGGACGTTTTTCAGGAGTTTTTATATAGACATATGGGCAGAATTAAAAACTGTTCAATAGAATTTCTTTAAACTTAGCATTTTGTTAAAATGTGATTTCAGAAATATTTTGAGCAAAACAAAAATTGGGTGTCACTGATCTCACTTTTGGAGTTATCTGCCCTTGAATCAGAATTATGTACTTATTTGAGGTCATTTCAAGAAAAGATTACTTATAAATATGTCTATACAATCTTGTTTTTACTTCTGGATTGTTTTTTCTTTTTACAAATTTTCTTGTTCACAATACATAATAACATGCAATTCCATATATTATTTTTGTTTCAGTTTTTCAGTTTGTATAAAGGGACTTAAAATTCTTTAAAAAAAACAAGCTTTTTGAAATCAAGGCCCCTGTGACCTTGACCTTTGACCTGGTAACCTCAAAATCAATAGATAAATCAAAAGAATAAAGTATTGTTTCATAGTGAATTATCTGCCCTTGAATTAAGCAAAAAAAGTGCAATTCAGGGGCAGATAACTCAAAAACAAGAATGGTGACCCCCACAATTGATTTTGCTTAAAATGTTTCTGTAATTATAGCCTAACAACATGCCAAGTACATGTATAAAGAAATTCTATTGAACAGTTTTAATTTTGCCTAAATGTCTGTATTAAAACTCCCCAAAACATCTTGAAGTTTAACATCACAGCACATTTACTGATGTTATAGCTTAAACCCCAACAATTCTCTTTAAGGAGACTTTGGATCTGTTAGTAGCAGCCAACATTATTTATTGTTTCAATGATTAAACATGGTTAAATGCAGAGTTCACTGTTGACATGACAAGTATCAGGTTGAACTTAAAGTACAATGTTCAAGCATGTATATCATTGCTTTGTTTATGTTCAAAAGTTCAAACATATAAGGTAAAACCATGCCCTAAATTCAAACATTTTCAATCTTTTTTCGTGTGACAGTGTCAATATTTAAGATGTTAACACTGTAATTCATTCCAGCATATCACAATATGTCATGTTTTTACCATTCCTTTGATACCTTTAGCACTAGCCATTCCTATATGTGTATCCATACTACCATTAAGATATCTAAAGAACAAATTACAATGGAAACTAAATATGCTTATCCATCCTTTGTACAATCTATGCTAACTCTGTATTTACATAAAAAAAAATATATACATAGATATAGATATATTTCTAAAAAGGTAAAAGTTAGGTAAAGTAAACATTCACTTACCAATTCCTTCAGAATTTCAAACCGTTTTGGGTCAATCTTGAAGGACACCATTTTCTCAAGTATTTTTCTCAACAGAACATCAAGTTTATCATTGTAACCTTTCACTGATAGCTGAAATATAAACATAATGTAATCGATGACACACATTTTTTCAAAATAAAAATGTAAATGCACATTATGCCTCAGAAATAAATTAATTTTATTTTCTTTAGATACAGCTAATATAAATTTTATAATGTTTCAATAATGGAGTTAGAGAATCTTAGATGCTTTTTACCAGAAGAAAGTAGAGATAAATGAGAAATAGTTTGTAATGAAAGTAGCAAAATGTAAACAAAGTAGTATTTTGACTTCCATACAAAATACACATACACTATAACTGTACTTGTTGCCAAAACGCAAAGGATAAAAAAGATGGTTCAGGTAATTGGCCAATGAGTAACTTTTTGTTTACTATAAAAGTATTCCAATATTAAAAAGCTTTTGAGAATTAAAATTAAAATAATTTCTAAGGCATAATGGGTCTTTAACCAAAATAACACATAACTTGACTCAGTTTTGCTTTGTTACGTTTCAAACCAATATGATAAATTTCAACATGAAATAGAAGCACCTGCACATATGGGATCAGGAGTAGAAATAAAATTACCTTAATTTTTAGCACATTTTAACATATAAACTTTGAAATGTCGAGAACAATATATAAATCAATTTGAGCAAAAGGCAAAATATAAATATATAAATCCATTTGAGCAAAAGGCAAAAAAATAATATTTAAATCCATTTGAGCAAAAGGCAAAAAATTTTCAATGAGTAGCCATAACAACTAAAGGTTGGGTTTTACATTGCACCAACAGGATTCAAAACCTACAGCCATGAGGGGCAAGTAATATTTGAAGTCAACAATCTTATTCTCTTTCGCCACTGACACCTCTTATAACAAATTTTACTATTCTAGGTCTTCTGCATAGATGACTTCTAATGACCTGCCTTACATGTTACATTTTTTCATCTCAGCATCTCCTTTTAACAGAGCTCAAATCTATAAACCATTGCTCTGTTCACCTAACTCTTTTGAAAAGCTACCTAAGCGGAATAGATTGATTGATTGATTTGGGTTTTACGTCACACCGACACAGTATATGTCATATGGCGATGTTCCAGCTTTACTGGTAGAGGAAGACCTCAGGTGCCCTCCTCCACCAGTAAAGCTGGAATAGAAATATATATATATAAAAAAAACTCCAGAAAGCAACATTAGCCTGAAATTTCTGCAGAACTAGAATTAAAGTAAGGAAAGCTTATGTTTCAAACAGAAAGTAGCAAGTGTTAGCCTGATATACTAAGGATAAAGGTAATTCCACCAGAAAGTACGAATTGTTGGCCTGATATATAAATATACCTAGGGTAAAAGTAACAGAAAGAAAAAGTGGTGTTTCTACCTTAAAGTAGCAAGTGTTAGTCTGATATATGAATATACCCAAGGTCAAAGTAAGAAAAGCTGGTGTTTCTACCTAAAAGCAGCAAGTGTTTGCCCAATTTTTCTATTTTCCTAGTGTAAAAGTAAGAAAACCTGGTCATATTATCTTGTAGACATAAACTGCATGTTAAGTTTTATTAGCACTATGCAAATTGGAAAAAAAAGAAAAGCTGGTTCCTTCAATAATTTTATGTTGAGATTAGTTTATACATACAAATGTAATTTATTTTAGTTTGATTGTTTAGAATGCTGTAAGCTTATAGACATACTCTCTAGTATGTTCCAGTACTGACCAAGGAGTGAAACGTTTCATGCTCAAGGAAACTACAGCATGCCCTTGCTGGGGTTTGAACCGACGCAGCTTGTAATCCTTAGATTACAAGTCTGCATAAGCCTGTCAACCATGCTGCTATTTCAAATTATGCTGTGTTTGTCCATAAGCTTAACTAATAAACCATCTGATTAAAACTTACAGATATTCTATATGTGGTGCCTAAACACTTACAGATATTCCATATGTGGTGCTTAAACACTTACAGATATTCCATATGTGGTGCTTAAAAACTTACAGATATTCCATATGTGGTGCCTAAAAACTTACAGATATTCCATTTGTGGTGCCTAAAAACTTAGATATTCCATATCTGGTGCCTAAAAACTAACAAATATTCCATATGTGGTGCCTAAAAACTTACAGATATTCCATATGTGGTGCTACTCAGGCTGTACTTGAGGCCTGCCAGTTCTGCATCATAAGCATATTCGTTCAATGAATCCTGGAACAGCTGAACAAACAACACTGACATGTTTGTATGTAACGGGTCTATATACACCAAAGGACTAAAATAAATAAATATGGTGGGTTATTGTAAAGCAAGCAAAATGTGCTATATAATTATATGTTCTAATAATTCAAATATTACACAAGTGAATGTTAATAGAAAATATCTCTTCTTCTTTAATAGCATTATATTTTTGATTTATGTGCCTTGTTAAATCGTATGCAAGTTATATAATTTTTATTAAACATAATTTTAACAAATTTTACCTGGTTAACTCAAAGCTAGCATATGCTTTTGGCAGATGAAATTTGTCATCCTGTTTGAACCATAACCTCGTCATTGCTGTGTCCTAAAACACGTTATCTTGCATATGTACATTGGTTTAAACATTTTTATTTTATCTTGATTGTGAAACAAGTTCTTGCAACTTATATTTATCACTTTCGAGTCCGCTTCCTGGTACCAACCAGTACTGGTGTCATATGAAGAAACATGATCATGACCCGAGTAGGGCTCGAACCCATGATCGCTAGGTTGAGAGGCAGACACCTTAACCACTAGGCCACCACTCCTCTTTTAAATACAGGATTTATTTTCATCAAGTGGTATGACACATATGTACATTAATTTAACACATAATATCACATATTACATCAGCACATTTTATTTCACATCTTATTTAGATATAAATAATGAACTTTTCAGCATTTTTTCACCACATGAGGGTCTAATAGAAGACATTATTGGATCCTGTCTTTTAAATTTACCCTTGTTTTCATTTCCAGAGTCCAAAAAAGTTTAAATCTTTATCACATCCTATATTGCCTTGTCATTATTTTCTAGAGTCCAAAAAGGTTCATATCAAATCCATATCACACCCCATCTATTCTTGTTTTCATTTTTTGAGAGTCCAAAATCCATATTAAATTCTTATTGTAAATGAAGTGACAAAGTTCTGTTAAATGTCAAAAAATGGTGGGTAAATTAAAGAGGTCAATTAATATGGTTGAGAAGAATACTGATTCTATTCTTAATCCAATATAGTTTTGACAGCTGTGTGCTATTCCAACAGATTTCAGTATTGTACTCAAAAATGTATAATAACCTTGTAATATCACATCATATCATAATAATAACATATTAAATCACCTATTACTTTTGCTTTTTCTTCAGTTTATAACAATTTCAATATTGAACGTTAAAAAGTAAAAAGTGTGAAGCATGTTACATTGTATGACAAACTTACCTTCAACATTGCTGGAACACAGTTTTGCTGTAAAATAATAAACATACATGTCTATTTTTCACACAGGATATGAAAATCTTAATTTCAATATACATAACTATAAGAGCAAGAGCTGTCACAGGAGACACTGAAGCTCAACTAATTAAATACTGGACACAGTAAGGTATATAAAATTATAAAAATCAATTATGATATAAATATATTTCTTCTTATGACAAGAAGTGATAGTTGTAAACATAAATTCCAATTTCAAGGGAAAAAATTCTGGAAATAGTCACACTAGAGTTATGGACATACATGTGTGTAATGATAAGAAATATATATTTGAAGTTTGAAGTAGATACCTTAAAAGGTAAAGAAGTTATTTCTTAAAGAAAATTCTAAGTTCAAAGGGAGATAAATCTGAAAATATTGCTTCAAGAGTTAAGAATCTGTATTTGAAGTCTGAGGTAGATACCTTTAAAACTAAATAAGTTATAGTTAAAAATAACATTTTTCTAGTAAAAAAATCTAAGTTTATGGAGGAGATAATTCTTGCAATATTGGTGCTATAGTTATGAACCTTGTTGCATGAGATGTGGTTAATGATAAGGAACATATATTTGAAGTATTAAGTTGAATTCCTTAAGAAATAAAGAAGTAAGAGTAAAATTATTATTTCTTTAAGGAAAATTCTAAGTTCAAGGGGAGATAAATCTGGAAATATTGGTGCTAGAGTTATGTCACATAAGATGTGGTTGATGATAAGGAACAGGTTGATGGTAAGGAACATATATTTGAAGTTTGAAGTTGATACCTTAAGAAATGAAAAAGTTATAGTGAAAAATATTTTACTGCACCAAAACTTTAATATGAAATCTGAAGGCGGATGCCCGGGCGAGTAGGACAGCTCTCCATATACTTTGTATAGTCGAGCTAAAAAGGATAGGAACCCTCTGGTATACATATAATCTTTTAAACAAAATCATCAATTTCTATTCTACAATTACTTCACCACTAGCTAGAATATAAGAATAAATCTTTTGTGGATTTCTTTAGACTTAACCTGCAATTTCCAAAAGTAATGAGACTTTGCTACTAGTATATTAACCAGGCCTGCCAAAAATTTTGCTACAAGGTTGGTTCAAATTTGTTATTTTTTGTTTGCTAAGTACTTAACTTTTTTTAGATTTTGTGCAGTTAATTAATAAAACTGTCAATAATTAAGTGTTTTCATAATGGACTTGTTATTGAGCTCAAGACTGTCATATTAGTCTGAGGCCAAAGTCGAAGGCTAATATGACAGTCTAAAGTCCAATAACAAGTCCATTATGAAAACACTTAATTATTAACATTATAATATTGAAATCTCTAAATTTGGAATGGAATGTTCAAAATTCAAATCTCAACAAAATTGATAAAACAAACTCTGCAGGTTCATGTTTAATTTACTTATAATTTCAGATACTATATCAAACAATTCTCATTTAATTAATCATTTTGTTTTTAATTGTTCTTAAAGTTAATTCTTTGTTCTTTATATACAAACCTCTGTCTCCCTGGCAACAAGGTCAAAGTTTGTTGGTATAAACTCATTTACAGCTGGTAAACTTAGGTTTTCATGGAAACCACAGGTGTTCCCACATCTAAAAGTACACATAATTTTTGGTTCCATTTTTAACATATACTTTGCTTATCTTTAAGTAAAATACTTTTAACGTGGAAATTTATTGACATGTATTTAAAATTTAAATTTCTACTTAATTTGTCTTATTTGAATTAAAGAATATACAAACTATGCATTGGAACTACATTCCAATTTTGGGTCAAGTAAAGATGATATTTTTCTTTGAAAAAAAAAAAATGCCTGTTTTTTCAATGACACTATATATTCATATTGTGCCCAGCTACAGTGAGTATTTTCTTTGTGTAAAGTAGTAAATAGTAAATATGGGTCTAGCTGTTAGAAGTAAACAAATACTTTCAGCTATAGGAGGGTCAATTAAATAATATTCTTGTTGAAAATATTTATAATTGGAAAGGAAATAATTGACTACAATTAAGGTCCTAGACAATAATTGAGCCCTGTCACGACAAAACCAACATAGTGGGTTTGCGACCAGCATGGATCTGGACCAGCCTGCGCATCCGCGCAGTCTGATCAGGATCCATGCTGTTCGCTTACAAACTCTATAACAAGTAGAGAAACTGATAGCGAACAGCATGGATCCTGATCAGACTGTGCGTCAAAAATGCGCAGGCTGCGTCTGGATCCATGCTGGTCGCAAACCCATTATGTTGGTTTGTCATGACGCGGCTCATATTTGATAATTTGAGGTTACATACTACAATTATTTTGACTTTAGAATATACTGTGTTAATTTATGAAGATAACAGGTTGATTTTTCTGTGTGCGTATAACCTTGAGTTTCTCTTGTGGTATAGGCTCCAGCTTGTATTCTGTACCATACCATTCTTCCTTTTTGTCTGTCTGTCCCGCATACTTCTTAGCAATCACTGAGATTCTGTCAAAAATGTAAAATAACCACAATAGATCTCCAGAGTTCAAGTCCTTCCATGAAAAATTGATTCAAGACAAGCTGTCTAATGCTACAATTTGTCACCTTAGTGCAATAACTTGTTAACTCCTATTAAATTTAATAGCACTTATTCCATTACTGCACTAAGGTGATGATATGTCCTCATAAACTTTGTCTTTGCTATTGATTGAAATGAAAAAAACAACAAAAAACAAACAAACTTGCATTTGCATGTAGTTACACAGGTTATAGGAATTATTTTAAAAGTATGGTCTGCTTGCAGATGACTTAAATACAAATTTTTAATGATAACAAATTTTGAAGAAAAAAGATATCACAATTACTTGAAAATGTTATAAGATTTCATTTATGCTAGATGAAAATCTGAAAGAACAATTTCATTGTAAAACTCTTAAAAGAACAAACATGTTATTGAAGTATAATTCCTTGTAGAGTCTTTGAAATTTAAATTTATCTAAATTTTAAAGATACCATTATGGGCAAATGATAAATTTTCAGTTTTTTGGTTTGTTTTTTGTAGGAGGACAAAAGGTGCTTTTGAAAGCACTATTTTACTTAAACTGCTGAACAGAACAGAACAGTACTTTATTATCTCAAATCAATAGATATATGAGATTACGGAGTAAATGCAAATTTCAAATACATCACATGTGTTCTCTGCAAACAGTAATAAAGCGATATTTTCAGTAATTTTGAATATTCAGTTACTATAATAAGAACATTGGAGTGTGGGGGGTTAATGCGAGAATTATAACATTAGGTGACGTCTTAAATTTGTACAGGTGTGCAATGGCATGAATCTTAAAATAGACTATAGACAATTGTAGGTGTATTGTTTCTATTTCAGTCTTACTCTGATTGGTCCAAATTTATTGACCTTGAATTAGATCAATTTGAATTACACTCTAGAACCATAAGTGATAAGCTATTGCCAAAAATCTGCCGAACCAGGCTCTATACTGTTGGAAGCTAATTTGATATATTTTGATACTGAAATCCGTTAAACTTGAAATGGACCGTCCCATAATCAAATCAGGGCAAGTCCATTTAATAAATTCAGCAGGTTAAGGGGTTAAAGAATCCCTTCACACCTTGAGAGATCTTTCATAAGCTCGCATATCAATGCAGTGAGTAGGAAGATATTCAAAAGTACCAAACTTACCTCATATTAGTTGGGATCAGTTTTTCCAGTAACATGTCCACTAATTCAGGCTTGTATTCAGTCATCATATAATGAAAACTTAAACACTCTTCTAATGGAACATCCTACAATATATAATGTTTCAACTTAACCAATTTACATTAAACAATTTACTGCCAGCACTTGATAATGTCATAAGAACATGCTTAACTAAAAAAATTTCTAACTAAAATAGGAGGCATATTTAAGTCAGCTTCCATGACAGAGATGTGTTTTCCTGCCTATCAGTTGAGATGATTGTCATAAACAAGTGTTTCAATATTCTAATAATTATCTCAAATGATTCAGTGAAAATAACCATATAGGCTTAACCATAGGGAATGGTACAGAACAACTTTATCAAATAGGGATGCTGAAATGGACCCAATGGCAGAAATGGACCCAATGGCAAGTAGGAAAACTCTCCCTGTACTTTGAATAGTTGAATGTAAAATGAAGTTAATTATGGCATAATAAAATATATTTACAAAGGAACTCATCACATGTAAATAATAGAAAAATAAATAAAGTTCACTTACATGTAAGATACCGGACAAAGCTGAAGTGTAACCTCTGGGTCTTTCTTTGTCCTTGAACCGGAAATGCATGGCACTTAAATCCTGTCAGAAAAGAAATATATAACAATAGAATTAGATGGATGAACAAAGCTCAAATTGCAGATCAATTCCAGTATATTGTCACCAATTCTTGTTGAAACCGGTTATTTATTTGGCTGGTCCCAGTAGTCACATAGCAGTTTCCTTTTTAAATAAATGATACAAGTACAAAAAACGTGTACCAAAGAAACATGGTAAATTATCATTGAAATCATTATTTTTGTCAAGATCCAAAGGAATTCCCACTTTTTCTCCAATTTATAAACATGTAATAAGACTGAAAAATTTCTAAGAAATCAATAAATATTATATATAAATACGAGTATGAAAAATGTAGTAAAGATATCAATCTACAAAACTGAAAGATACAACCTTATAAGGCTAAAGAAACAAACAAAATGATTGATGTACTTACAACAACTTTAATTTTGTGCTACTGTTGGTTGAATATAATTCTATATAATTCAAAATATCACTGAAGAATATACTTATATTAATATAAAGAAGATAATGTTCACCTACAGCACATTCCTTGAAGATCCATTCTTGTGGCCCCTCTTTCTTTAACATGTGTAAATACTGGTATATCAATGTAATTATATCATCAACATGCTCTGCAATATACAAAAATAAGAGTGACTTTATTGTTTGTAACTCTCCCACCTGTATACAACAAGAGGACCATAATGGCCCTTTATTGCTTACCCGAGTACAAACATGTTCTGCAATATACAAAAATAAGAGTGACTTTATTGTTCGTTACTCTCCCACCTGTATACAACAACAGGACCATCATCCATAATGGCCCTTTATCGCTTAACAGAGTATATACATTAACAGGATTTCCGAATTAACTCTTTCCTTCTGAGTTTCATAAAAATTTAGCATAGCGAATGTGAGTAAAATGCTATCTGAAACTTATTTCTATTTCAAGCTCTGACTGCCATCAGCAGCAGACTGGAACAAATCAATAAAACTATTTGGTAGAGCACCACTCAAGCATTTTTCTTACTGTATCATCAAAATATAAAGAGATGTCATTCAAAGGTTATTTACATTTTTAGTTCTGACTGATTTGTTTAGCAGACTGGGACAATTTTAGCTATTTTTTCATATCTTTTTCATCTTTAAAGTATTGTTTCATATTCACATAAAATATGATAAACAAGAGCACTGCTAGGCCGAGCATTATGTGCCCGAAAGTGATTTTTTTTTAGTAAAGATTAAGCATTTGTAAGACATGGGAATTAAATAAAGTATTACTTAGTTCAAATAACAATCCTCCTATGAAGTTTGAATATTGTGGTCCAAATGGAACTTAAGTTATGCCCCGGAAACTGTTTTCAGTTTTAAGGTAATAGTTCTTAAGACCTTGTGACCCCAAAATCAATAGGCGGGTCTTCCACCCAACCCCCAATATGGGCAATCATCCTATGAAGTTTTGAATATTGTGGGCCAAATTGGAACTTGAGTTATGCTCCGGGGAAAACCAAATTGCTAAAGCCCGTCTCACACAAAACACGGTTGGGCACACGGTTCCCATATGGTATACCTGGTTATACACGGATTGACTGTACGAGTATTTATTCCAACGTGCCTGGGGATTAGTTTGGCACGAGTAAGACTCGAATGTTGCACGAGCATGTACGAATAAAGGACGGAACTACTCGGGTCTAGGCAAGGTTTGAACACGATTTGCATACGAATACATACGATTGTTGCACGGTTCTAAGTACGGTCTAGTACGGCCAAATACGATTAAACACGACTTATACTCGATTTACTCGACTTTCACAGGTTTTACATAGGGTCCCGCCGACTTTTTGTTCCAGTTATGCTTGAATTATCACCTATTTGTGTTTGTTATGATATAAATTGACCCATTCGGATGGCTTGGCTTATAAATACTCGAACTTTCAACGAAGAACACCTATATATGTGAATTTTGGTGCCAGATGCAACAGATGACATGATAAGGGAGTTAGAAATCATGATAAGCCTGACAGACATTGGTGGGCCCCCCTGCTCACCAGGCTCGGCAGGGGCAGAAGGTTGGAGTGGTCAGCAGGCCTGGGTGGCCCTTGTTGCAATCCTTCTGTGCATGGGAACCTTCTTCTTTTGATACATTCTAGTATGATGCAGCAAGTACTCTGGGTAGATCTAGCAACTGAGGGTGGCAGCAGCTAGTTGTTGTTTTCGTTGTACAGTTCTTGCTTATGTAGAGACCATATATAACCGTATTCGAGGCCGTGTGAAACCGTGTATACCCGTACTATACCGTGTATGCCATGTATGATTTGTACGTGAACCGTATTGGTCATATGGCGTTCGTATGAAACCGTTTGTGCACTCGAGTCAATCGTACCGTGATCGTGTGACATTCGGATGTTAATCGGGTGTTGGATGTAGGACTTGGGGACGGTCTCGAACGATTCCATACGATTTATATACGATCTTGGCACGGTTGGGCTCTCTCGTGGAGTGGACTTCAAATACGGTTGTATATACGGTCTCATACGGTCTCTTACGGTCTTGTACGGTCGTTTATACGACCATACACGGACATTACATTCGTACCAGTTTTTTAAAAGTTTTAAAAATCATACACCGCTTACACAGATACACTCGAATGGCCCGAGTGTAACTCAGTTAAACTCACGGTTAGTTCGGTTGTATGTACGGCTTACACGGGTAGCCAACCGTATAAACCGTGTGTTCTGTGTGAGATGGGCTTAACAGACGGACGCCAGGGGGTATAACATAATATGCCCGAAATTCTTTCGGGCATATAAAAAGAGTACTTCAAACAACTTGAATAAATAATTTCTAAAGCAAAAACTAGCTTGAATTTAAATGTCTTACCTAAACCATCGGCAGTGAGATCCACATTTACAATAAAGAACATAAAACCATTGGCTCCCTGCTGTTGCCCTCCTACCAATGTATTCACCCAACCTATAAATATATATAATAGATGTAAAAACCAACAAGAATATTGGTAATACTCATGGATACTATGTTGTTACATAGACAAAGCTAAGAACATGACCTATCTTAGTAGGAAAATCTATTTTTAGCCTCAGTGACCTTGACCCAAATGACCTGCAATACTACCCACAGGTTGAGGGTTTTGGAAGGAACCAGCTAATTATCTACATCAGTCAATAAATAAATGTGCTGAGAAAAATAAACCAAAAAATATGAGAGAATGATTGACACAAGAGCTGTCGGTAGGACAGCAACGCTCGACTATTCTTAGTGCTTGATTGTAAAAAAAAAAATGCTTGACACAGTTACCTCCTCCTGTTTACAGGTTGGGGTAATGATGGTGAACAAGTGTGCAAAGTTTCAAAGCCATATTTCAATGGACTTTGAAAATATTTGAGGTATTACAAAAACTTTAATGTAAATTCTAAGTCGAAAAAGGGGCATAATTCTGTCAAAATGCTTGATACAGTTACCCCCTCCTGTTTACAGGTTGGGGTAATGATGGTGAACAAGTGTGCAAAGTTTCAAAGCCATATGTCAATGGACTTTGAAAATATTTGAGGTATTACAAAAACTGTAACATAAATTCTAAGTCGAAAAAAGGGGCATAATTCTGTCAAAATGATTGATACAGTTACCTTCTCCTGTTAACGGGTTGGGGTAATAATGGTGAACAAGTGTGCAAAGTTTAAAAGCCATAGGTCAATGGACTTTGAAAATATTTGAACTATTACAAAAACTTTAACGTAAATTCTAAGTCGAAAAAAGGGGCATAATTCTGTCAAAATGATTGATACAGTTACCTCCTCCTGTTAACGGGTTGGGGTAATGATGGTGAACAAGTGTGCAAAGTTTAAAAGCCATAGGTCAATGGACTCTGAAAATATTTGAGATATTACAAAAATTTTAACGTAAATTCTAAGTCGAAAAAGGGGCATAATTCTGTCAAAATGCTTGATACAGTTACCTCCTCCTGTTTACAGGTTGGGGAATTGATGGTGAACAAATGTGCAAAGTTTCAAAGCCATATGTCAATGGACTTTGAAAATATTTAAACTATTACAAAAACTTTAACATAAGTGGTTACGACGACGAGGACACCGACGCTCGGGTGACTACAATAGCTCTACTTTTTCTTATCGAATAGTCGAGCTAAAAATGACAAATGACACAATTCAATGATTTTTCCCTGACATGCCGAGCATGAAAAAACCCATTATTAAATGAACTATTGCTGTATTTAGTTGATTAAGTCGAGATAATATAATATTTGGATCCTTTAAAGGTGTATGCTAGGTTTATTTATAGACATATAATAGAATGAACACAACAAAATAGAATTTATTTAAATTTTGCACGATCTAAGAAAATCTCAGTTCTTCTTTTTTAGTTGAATTTTAAGTCAAATCAACATTGTATCAGTCATATGGCAACTTTCCAGCTTAACTGGTTGAGAAAGACTTCATGCACCAAGCTTCCTTTAAAATTTAAGGCACTCATGTAGAACCACACATCTTTCAACTAGCTAAAAGTTTACTCGCATAAGATGAATAAAATTAACATCACCAGCTACACAGTCTTGTTGCATGGCAATGATCAAAAAGCTTGAAAATATATTTTTCACTTACCCCTGAGTTTCAGTTCTGACAACAAACTTCCTTTCCCTTCATGACCAATCAAATGACCAAGATAATGACCTGGCTATAAATATACAAACACATAGTATAAACAAGTTATCATAATTAACAATTATCACAACAGTCATGCGATTTGTTGAATGGCTACAAAGTAAAGTATTGATTTGTATAGTTGAAACACATATACAATTATCTATCAGGCATAAAGCATGAGAAATATAAGTATGGTTGAAGATGCAGTAGAGACCATGGCAAATCTTACATTAGTTTTATAGAATGGTTGAAGAACTGGTATAAACCATGGCAAACCTTACATTAGTTTTAAAGAATGGTTGTAGAACTGGTATAAACCATGGCAAATCTTACATCAGTTTTATAGATTGGTTGATAACTGGTATAAACCATGGCAAATCTTACATTAGTTTTATAGATTGGTTGATAACTGGTATAAACCATGGCAAATCTTACATTAGTTTTATAGATTGGTTGATAACTGGTATAAACCATGGCAAATCTTGCATTAGCTTTATAATATGGTTGAAGAACTGGTATCAACCATGGCAAATCTTACATAAGCTTTATAATATGGTTGAAAACCTTCTATAAACCATGACAAATCTTACATAAGCTTTATAATATGGTTGAAGAACTGATATAAACCATAACAAATCTTACATTAGCTTTATAATATGGTTGAAGAACTGATATAAACCATGACAAATCTTACGTTAGCTTTATAATATGGTTAAAGAACTGGTATAAACCATGACAAATCTTACATAAGCTTTATAATATGGTTGAAGAACTGATATAAACCATGACAAATCTTACATTAGTTTTATAATATGGTTAAAGAACTGGTATAAACCATGACAAAGCTTACATTAGTTTTATAATATGGTTGAAGAACTGATATAAACCATGACAAATCTTACGTTAGCTTTATAATATGGTTGAAGAACTGGTATAAACCATGACAAATCTTACATAAGCTTTATAATATGGTTGAAGAACTGGTATAAACCATGACAAATCTTACATTAGCTTTATAATATGGTTAAAGAACTGATATAAACCATGACAAATCTTACGTTAGCTTTATAATATGGTTGAAGAACTGGTATAAACCATGACAAATCTTACATAAGCTTTATAATATGGTTGAAGAACTGATATAAACCATGACAAATCTTACATTAGTTTTATAATATGGTTAAAGAACTGGTATAAACCATGACAAATCTTACATTAGCTTTATAATATGGTTGAAGAACTGATATAAACCATGACAAATCTTACATTAGCTTTATAATATGGTTAAAGAACTGATATAAACCATGACAAATCTTACATTAGTTTTATAATATGGTTGAAGAACTAGTATAAACCATGACAAATCTTACATTAGTTTTAAAGTATTGTTGAAGAATTGCTATAGAAAATGGTAAATTAGTTTTTCAGTTAGAATGAAGAACTGGTAGAGTTTTTAGTTGTTGTTTTTTTGTTTGTGTTTTATGTCACACCAACACTTACATTAGTTTTATAGTATGGCTGGAGATCCGGTATAGACCATGACACTGACAGGTTTCTAATGTCCTTCACTGGTGTTACATAGCACATATTCTGTAGCTGGGTGGGGCCAAATGGGTGCTCCTCCCAATGAGGGATAGTCACTTTCTTATTTTCCACCCCATGGAAATGTGGCACAACCATCTCTGTAAGTTCCTCTAGTGACTCTGATGTAAACAAAAAAAGAACAACACATTGGCGTAAAGCACAGATAATATAAATTGAAATATATAAATTAAAATTAATAAAATTATACACAATTTTTATTATATACTTAATGAAAATTTATATTTGTTACCAAATGCTTCTATTTGCTGAAATAGAAAAATAACAGTACTGTATTTGTGAAAAAGCCGTGCAAATAGATTAAATATATACCTGACCATTGAAAATTTGCATTAACAGGATAAACTGACCTCTGTCAGGCTCTGTGAGGTATTAAACAAACAAGTTGCTCTTGCATGAGGTACACTTTATTATAATAGAAATTTAACACCACCTTTTGAATCTATTTCAGAACTGCTTTTAAAACAGAAGTTTTTATGCTACAGTGATGAAAAAGAACTCATTGAGAACTACATTAAAATAAAAGAACAAATTAGAAATATACCTTTCCCTAGTACAGTCAGTCCCATAATATTTGATGAGTACAGTTTATCATGAAACTTGAGTAATTCATCCCTTACATCGTACCCTAGCTCCTTTGACCTTGTCTCTAACGTGTACTTGTTTCCTAGCAACAATAAAATATACTCACATGATAAATATCCATTTTTTGTAACTTCCATTATGAGTTTCTTGGATATCAAGAAGACAATTTAAACATCAACATAAGTGTAGGCTGGCCTGGCTCTACACTGATTGATAATCACTTTCAATCCAATGTACAAAGTAAATGATATATTGTCTAAAAAAACAATGCAATATTTTATGATATACATACTATCTATCAGGGCTCTACAATTTTTTTTGGAATAGAGTTGTCCAGGACAACTGACCTAGCAAAATAGAGTTGTCCCAAAATTGACCACAAGTGTCCAAGTCTCGGTAAATGTTCAGTATGCATAGTATGTATATCCAAAGAAGAAGTAAAAACAATTAATTTCTTAATATTTTTAAGTTACATTAAGTTTTTCATTTAGTATAAAATAGAACATTTTGTTTCAACTGAAATAGTTTTGATTGTTCAGCTCTCTTCCCAGGTACCTTTCAGCGCTGTTTAAGTTCAATAGCCTGTGTAGGCCTATATGTTTTGTTTCAGTTTTATTTTATTTTCCTGAATTTTTATCCTTGATCTTGAAAATTTAAGTAAAATTATTCTAACATGAATCTAGTTAGCCATAGCCTCTCTCAGTTTCCACATTTCACAATGGACATGGGAAAGAAGAAAAAGACAGTCATTATTACCTGGTAGGGAAATATAAAATATGATAGTGAATTAGACTATTCAAATACTGATAAATCTCATCATTATTTATCTTAACATTGTCAAAAGTCTTTTGATTTATAAGTGACAAAAGATTTTTAATATTTCTACTTGCTGCAGAGCTTTAAACTGGTTAAAATTGCCTCACGATTTATATAAAAAAAATCGGCATCGCGAAAATATGTGACAAATGAAAAATTTTCTGTTTTCCTCATAAATTATACTATTTTGACTATTGTATGTTCGAATGCGTTCATAATAGATGCTTTTTGGATATTTTAATATTGTTTTCCACTTAGGAATTCATCAAAAAGCCTAAAACAAAAAATTCCAAATTTTCAATTCACGGCACAAATTACTGTCTGCTTGTGTCAATATATCAACTTCAAAGACCAAGTCTGTGACTTAATAATGTTTTGGACATGTCTATAATAATGTTGGACTTTGTCTTTAAGATTTTTATCAAACATTTAGTATGCATTATAATATTAGCACATACAAAGAGATGGTATGGAGATGTATTAAACCCCATTCAGTGGAGTAGTTATACTTTAACAGCATTATATTTCTAAAGATATGCTTGACATCAAATTACATGTTAACATTTTATTTTTCAAAATTAGGCATATGTCTCTTATAATTATGCAGTTTTGAGCTCTTAAGACTTTAATTAGTAAAAAATTGTAGAATTCTAAAATTAAGAATGTAAGGATTATGGCTGCCACTTATTTCACATGTTCAAATCAGTTTACAGCAAGAACTGCCAGTAATAAACAATATCTTACCTGTTCCAAACTTGTGAAAGTCATGTGTAGGTTTTGCCAGAGATTTTTCCAGCTGATGTAATCTCCACGAGTCATTTTGTAGATTTTTGTCATTTTCGGAGTTAACAGCATTTATCTCCCTTTCTGTAGCAGACGGTGTGAATAAAGGCTCGTGGAAGAACTGAGAAAATCTGAAATATAAACACAAATTTTGACTCTCTCTGGAGGGACTTCAAAGAAAAAAACACCACATCTTTGCATTGCAGACAGATGTGTAGATAAGGCATAAATACACATCAATATGGTTTCTTAAGAGTGCTTTTGGTCTAGTTGAGCTTACTTTTAGCTTTGTTAGTTGTTCAGTAAGGGATTCCCATCTCAAGTTTTCAGAACCCCTACAGCAACTCAGAAGAGCTTTTGTGGACAGTATAGTTTATCACTGTGACTTGAGTGGTTGTGTAGAAAGGCAAACATCAAGACGTCTATCATGAGTTTTACTGGCAAATATAACTAATATATACCTCTAGTATTGAACCAGACGAGCCTGTATATCTATACAGCCTGACCGGACAACATATTAACAAGTGTCTTATAACTGTGCATTGCCATGATAATCAAGTATTCAAAGTTGTATGATGATATCTTTCATATTTGGAGTCATTCCACTAAATAAGTTATTTTGACAAAAATTTTAACTTAAGAAGGGGCATTACTCTAAAATATACTTTCAGAATAATGCCCCTTGTCTAACAACCTGCTTTACCATGATAAGTATTCTATAATATATATAAGCTTAATAACTGTAATATATATGATCTTAATAACTATAATATATATAATCTTAACAACAAACAAATTATTTTTTAAAATAAAGGAAACAAAACCTTTCTAAGCCGAGCCTTATAAATAATATCTATAATAAATTATAAGTGACTTTTACCTGTCTAGGGCGCCACTAAGATGTTCTGGTGCTATATCAAAATAGTAATTGGTATGTTCATTTGATGTAAATGCATTGGAACTTCCAGCATGCTCGTTGAGATACTAAAATTAAACAACAAAAAAACCTGTACATTTAGGTAAATAGATATAACTTGTTGATGTGTAAAGTCCCTATATATTTCTTAACAACTTGCCCTGTAATGATTTCTCAGATCAGTGGTATACATATCATCAAAATATGGATCAGATCACAGGGACCAGGCACAGTGTTGGAGAAGTGTAAAAAGTAATTCTAGAACTGTATATATAATATATATATATATGTATATACAGTATATTTTTGTTCTAGCATTCCTTTTTACAATATCCCATCACTGTGCTAGGTCCCTTTGGATCAGATATTGGTTTGTCCTACAATCACTGGATTGAGATTTACACTTAATTTAAACAAAATCAATCTAATAACTGATTAATTAATATAATAAAAAACAAGAGCCGGTTGAACCGGGTGATGCTCCCCGAATAGGTTTTGGACACAGGAAGGTATACCTCTTGTAGTGTCAGAGTTATGTCACAGTCAAAGTTCAAAGTGTAAAATCAACCCAAATGTTGCGCGCGACACATTTTCTCAATATGGTGATCATTTCTGTGAAATAGTTGTAAAATCTGACTTCAAATAATGAAGTTATGGGCTGGATACGATTTTGCTGCAAGGTCATGCTATGACTTTGACCTTCAAGATAGCAACCCAAATGTTGCGCCAAACACATTGTCTTAATACGGTGATCATCTCTGTGAAAAAGTTGTTAAATCCAACTTCAAATAACGTTATTATGGGCCGGACACGATTTTGCTGCAAGGTCATGCTGTGACCTTGACCTTCAAGGTAGCAACCCAAATAATACCTGCGACATGTCATCTCAATATGGTGATCATTTCTGTGAAATAGTTTTAATATCCGACTTCAAATAACGTTGTAATGTGCCGGACACGGATTTGCTGCAAGGTCATGCTGTGACCTTGACCTTTAAGGCGACCCAAATGTTGCGCGCGACACGTCGTCTCAATATGGTGATCATATCTGTGAAATAGTTTTAAAATCTGACTTCAAATAATGAAGTTATGGACCGGATACGATTTTGCTGCAAGGTCATGCTGTGACCTTGACCTTCAAGGTAGCAACCCAAATGTTGCGCGTGACACGTTGTCTCAATATGGTGATCATTTCTGTGAAATAGTTTTAAAATCCGACTTCAAATAATGAAGTTATGGACCGGACACGATTTTGCTGCAAGGTCATGCTGTGACCATGACCTTCAAGGTGGCGACCCATATATTGTGCGCGACACGTTGTCTCAATGTGGTGATCATTTGTGTGAAATAGTTTTAAAATCTGACTTCAAATAACAAAGTTATGGGCCGGACACAAATTCGGGACCTACGTACAGACTGACGGACAACCAGACGACTATATGCTGCCCCGAAATTTTTCGGGGAGCATAAAAATTAATATAGAAACCTTTAAAAAGAAATGTCACTACTAAACTTACATGCGTTTCTTCATATGACACCAGTACTGGTTGGTTCCAGGAAGCAGAGTGATAAATATAAGTTGCAAGAACTTGTTTCACAATCGAGCTTAGATAAATATGTTTAAACTAACTTCAAGGACAGTCAGCTGAAACTTTAAGTAGACTGCCTGGTCAGATTGCAATGATGTGTTGGCTGATTGATTTTATATTGATGGCAAAAGCTGATCACTTATGTTTCCATCAGGGTAAAGGTGAAGAAAATGGAAGTTAAAACATTTGTCATTCTTGAACAAAAAGTCCTTAGGAGATGAATGCCATATAGTATAAAACTCCTCCTTTAAATAATGCTTACTATAAATTATCTAATTGCTATGACACCTTCAAGATGCACGTGTATGTTATAACATAACTTACCTTGGTGTATTCATTCTCTTCAGGATACTGGAAAAAAAACAACATATTTTTCCAATTAATATATTATCTTAAAATTCAACTTACATAAATCTTTTGCACTTTCAATTGCTAATGCACATTCTAATTTTGTAATAAATCGTTTAAACTAAGCACAAACATTAATCTAATTACCTTCATTTTGATTAAATAACTAAAATGTTAATCACAAGTAATTTCAAGTACATCAATTTAAATGTTGTTCCTTATACATGTCTGTCATATATAAAATATGTGTATCATCGTGATCTTGAAAGTTGAACTTCATTTTACTCATCTTTATTTCTGGAGCAAATGGTTTTATTTTTTAAGCCACATTTAAGATCTGTTTATTTTCAAGAAAAGAATACATACAATGCACATGATAATTATAGCGTTTATGTACATGATACATAACATACATGTTGCGAATACTTTTCTGTTATGGATTACTGGATTAAAGCCATTGGAAATTGAAGATTTAAGATATTGCATGAAGTAAAATAGCTCAATTATATAGAATACACAAGAAAATTCTGAAGCAAATTATTACTGTGAAGTATCTTACCTTTTTTGTTCCAAGAAAGAGCATATGCTCACAGAAATGTGCAAGGCCTGGTATGTCTTTCGGATCTTTCATATGTCCTAAATAAATAAGAAATCAAGCATATTATCTGATGTAAATATGTTGACTAGCTTTATGATTAAAATGAATATACTGCTGCCTTTGGTTAAATAGGGAAGTACAGAATGTTTCAATTATGTTGAAAAAAAAAATGAAAAAAAAAAAAAAATCATTTACGACCTTTATTCATTGCACTATCTCTTTCTATTATTAATACTTACAACATTGTTTATATACTTTTATACAGTGTTCTGCATGATATTTACCTTGACACACAATCTATCACAAAACATATTTAAAAGTTGTCCTTCACTTATTTAATCATATTATGCAAGCTATTTATCACATATTTATAATAACAAGAGTCATTTTTCACTAACCTGCCAATAGGGTAACACTAACATTAAAGCCCTTTAACGCTATGTTTGTTAAATTGTATATATGTATAACGCAAATTTATGACATCATCTCAAAGTGTTATTATACTAGAGTAAATATCGTTTTTATGAAATAGCTTTATTACACTGCTGCACTGTAGTTTATGTGATAAATATATGTTTGTGTAATGTGCTATACACAGTCAGTATTGTTGATAAAAATTCATAAAATTCACGTAAGCAATTTTATTGACATTATATACCTAAACAGAGCTTGAAACATATTCTTATATTATATTAATTTTTATCTGGAATGTTTCCTTTTTCACAGGTTTTAAAAAAACACATACCAACATAAACATCCATAGCAGCTGATGACTTGTCTGTTTGTTTATCACTAATGAGAAGTATCCTCATTCCATTGTTAAGTTCCAGTGCCCGGTATAGTCGATCATCTCCCGCAGATTTGACAATTGTCTTGTCATCAAGAGTTCTTTTGATATGTGCAGCACTCATTGCTGATGACACCCTACAGTATAGTTAAAAGTTTTTATTTTTATCAAACACAAAACAGATTTTTGTCATTTAAGTTTATTATAATTAACATAATTCATATACATGTAAATTACCTATCATGTCATAATTCTTAGCCTGCAGTCTAGGAAACCTTTCATTCTGACAAGATTGAGGAGGTTGGGGAGTGTTTCTTCACTTTCTTGTGCATAGTGGCATTTCATAACCTTGTATACCAATATTTACATCTTAACCATTTTGTCAATCTTTTCAATGTTATTAGGGTCAATCTTTTCAATGTAATTAGGGTCAAAAATTCTATCAGGACTGTAGTGCTTTTAGATTACATTTACATGTATGATGTGTTTAACTTCATTGAAAATTCATTGAAAAAAATATATCAATGTGCAATCTAGATGAGTGGGTGCACCATGCAGCCATTTTAAACAAGAGCCATCAGTAATCACATGTGTCGCCTCATAATGGCCAATTTCATGTTGGGACAAATTTTGTGACAGACGGACAGACAGACGGACAGTGCACAACTAGACTTTGTACTGATCAATCATGTAAAGTTTGGATAAAATTGCACCAGTAGCTTATGAAGAGTAGTCCGGACAAGCTTTTGCGTATCTGGCAACACACAGAAAAAAACACCTTTTTATCAAAGGGCCATAACTCAGCCAAAAATCATTCAACCGGAAAACTCGTGCAATATGCGCAAGGACTTGAGCTACAGATCAATCCTGTCAAGTTTCATTGAAATTGCATAAGTGGTATAAGAGAACTAGTCTGGACAAACTTTAAAAATAAAAATTATTAAAGGGCCATAACTCTGACAAAAATCATTGAACCGGAAAATGCTGACAATATGCACAACTAGACTTGGTACTGATCATTCCTGTAAAGTTTGGATGAAATTGCACCAGTAGTTTATGAGGAGTAGTCCGGACAAGCTATTGTGTATCTGGCAACACACAGAAAAAAAACACCTTTTTATCAAAGGGCCATAACTCGGCCAAAAATCATTCAACCGGAAAACCCTTGCAATATGCGCAAGGACTTGAGCTACAGATCAATCCTGTAAAGTTTCATTGAAACCGGAAAATGCTGACAATATGCACAACTTAACTTGATACTTATCATTCCTGTAAAGTTTGGATGAAATTGCACCAGTAGTTTATGAGGGGTAGTCCGGACAAGTTTTGTGACGGACGGACGGACAGACAGACGGCGGAGAAGTGATCCCTATATGTCGCCACTTCTCCGCAGAGGCGACACAAAAATCCTGGATTGGTTAAATATATAGATCACAAAATACTTTTGACAAAACATTTAACAAAAGCATCTATACAATTCTGACTGTTGCAAGAAGGTGCCCTTATTTTACTTCAAGTGGAAGTATGATATTGAAAATCTGAAAAAATATCATTTTCAATAAGTACTAAAGTACCTATGATAAACATTAAAATAAATTCTTTTTTTTTTAAATCCATTGTCATAAAACGTTTCAATAAAGATCAAACAACAACCCAATCTATTGCCCACCTGCTTGCATAACAATGGCACTCCACTAAATGTAATATATGAGCAGTGGTTGGAGACAACAACTCTGATTCAGATTAGAGTTAAACATAATACCAAATATGGCAGACATAGAGAATACATGGTTGATGTCGGGATGGAGAAGGTTTATCAGGTGAGCAAGAAAATGTATCTTGGCAAGCTTAAGCGAGCCAAGATTCACTTTCTCAGCGAACCGGATAAACCTTCTCCATCCCGACATCAATCATGTATTTGATTTATCCTGCTTTTAATAATTATGTATTTTAGAATAATTAAATGGTTTTCTTCTTACTTGTCCCCGATAAAATAGCATCTATATGTAGCTAAACATTTGACGTCATCATATCACGTAATGACTGGAGATAGATAGATAAATTTATCCGACAAGGCTTTGCCTTTAATTACTATATAACATAAGATCCACGAAACCACTTTCGCACCTCTTCGAAAATTAAGTTTGTCGAACCGGTAGTTCGACGAAACCACCATAATTCGACAGTAGCAGGATAAAAGATATTCTGCATACTGGTTATTAGAAAGATAACTACGACATAAAATCACATATTTTTTGCAATATTTTATCTGTCTTTGTGTATATTTTAAAAATTGAACAGTAAAACCATGTTTATCAAGTGAAAGGATTTTCTCTGAATGGGAGTTGTCAGAGTGATACGGAAGTCCACGGCTAGGCACTGCCACAATTTCCCACACCCGAAATAATAGTTCCAATTTGGCAGGCCAGAGGATGCCAGTGATTTTTCTGCTTATAATTTATATAACTGACTCCGATAAAAAGCCTCTTTCCAATTGAATTTTTTCTTTAAAATCATGCAGTTTTCCCAATAATCTGAACTTAAACCTGCTTTTTTACTTCCCAAATTAGCATTTTTTGCGATAATTTTTCCCAAAATCAAGAGGCTAAGGCCGAGCTTCCCAATTAAGTGAGAAAAAACACTGGCTGCCATCCTTATGATCTCAGACACAAAGTTACAATTTTGATTTAAGATATTTGTATATTGCAGGTGTAAAAATAAAACAGCCGTTCTGATTTTTTAAATATTTTTTGTACGGCTAGTCTGGGACATACGATGTCCCAGGGCTAGTGATGACAAGCTGACAAGTCCAAACTTTCTTTGACAAGCTGTTATCAGTTGTTATGTACAAACGAGAAAATTTCACAATTATTTTGCAAGAAGGTGTTACCGTTTGCTAAATGGATTGATCTGTATATTTTTTATGCCTGATAAGATATGATTCAATCTACCAAATCTAAATAAAACCATCGGATTTCCTAAATTATTAAAAGCTGTAATTTGCTCTACATCAATGAACGTTTGATTTCCTCATTCATGCGCTTGCATAATGGAGAGTAGTCTGGTTTCACCGTATATTAAACAAAAGTCAAATAAATACCAAAAATAAGAATGAGTTATCTGTGGTAACAATTGACAATATTTAGCAAATGAAATTTTCACCCGTTACGCACGAAGTTATTGAGTCACAATAATAAGCCTAAGTAATTATAAAAATAGGAAGCCTAAAAAAAATGACGATATGACTAGTTGTACTACCGAATTGTCTCACAGGCCTCGAGCCATCGGCAATGAACGAGTAAATAAATAAATAAATAAATTTTAGAAAGAAATAAGTCATTACGCTTCATTTGAAACGTTTCTGAAGGTTCTACAGTGTTCTGGGCTCTTAATTAATTTTTAATATTTCTATGAATGATTTTTTACTTAATAGAGAAATTCTACATTTACAAATTTAAGTTTGAAATAATATTTGAATTACAGTCAACCCGGCCCCAAGTTAACCCGGCCCCAAGTCAACCCGGCCTCAAAATTGGTCAACCCGGCCCCAAAATTGGTCAATCCGGCCCCACAGTATTTTTATTTGGTCAATGCGGCCCCAAAATTGGTCAGTGCGGCCCCAAAATCGGTCATTCCGGCCCCAAAATATGTATTTTTCAATGAAAACTATTCAGGTCATTTTGTTGCATGATGGAATAAAATTATTAATTGAATATTATTAACTATAGAACAATAGTAAAAAAAACGCGGACTGGCATAAAAGTGTCGGTAAATTTAATTGCGCCGATTAAGACTTTAATACGCAATAGTGATAATGAATAATTATTTAACATCAACAATTATGTAACTCGACATTATTTCAGAATGTAATCAAACAGTTTAAAGCAATCAATTAACAAAAAAGGTATAGCTGTGAAAACAAATCATTTAAATTCGATGTAAATTAAAGATGGTGGATAATTAGGAAGAAATGCATAGAATTTCGTGTTAAAAGGTTTGTATAAATTAGGTTTACAACAATTTCAGTTCATTTGAATGTTTTTTATTGAAGACGTTCATCAGTATAATTAATATTTGTTTCGTATTTTATTAACTTATTTCAAAGAATATTTACTGTGTAAAAAAGTATTGGAATATTACTAAGTGTTTGAAAAATTGATAGTGTTTTGTGTTTAATCATTCTAAATGTATGTCATTATGACTGATTAATGTATTGATTGTGGATATATTGTGCGTGACAGACAGGAGGCAGTGACCTGCGATACCTGTGGTAGATGGCAGCATCTCTATAATAAATCTTACTCAAAAACTGTTAATGGAAACACTTTAGTGAGCTTTTGGTCAATACTTTTTTTAACATACAATAACATAGTAATGATTTGAACACATTAAGTTTTTTTCCATGATTTGTCAATAAAAAAGTTTAGTTTTTTCTTAATACTTCTATCGTAGAGAGGTTAAGGTTGAAGACAGACGTCACCTTATTTTCGCGACGGTAAAAACAGTAAACTATGCATGTGTTGCTTGTTTGTTAATATTGATAGTTTTTATATAAAATAAATAATAAAAGATATCATCGTTAAACATTTGTTGTTGTTTTTGTTGTTAATTTTTATTTATTTCTTGATAAGTGTTTATATTTTAAAGCAAAAAAAAAAAAAAGGGCCGGGTTGACCAGAAATAACATTGGTTTGGGGCCGGGTTGACCAATTTGGGGCCGGGCTGACTTGAGGCCGGGTTGACATGGGGCCGGGTTGACTTGTACCGTAATATTTTGTCCAATGAAATTGTTCCATTTTTGTCTTCAAATTCTTTGATACATTTTAACCCGTTTAATCAGCACCAACTTGTCATTTAATTAATACTATATATCCAGTTAAATCAAAAAATAGATGCTGACTTTATTACTATGCATATATAGTAACACTTTAATGGATTTCCCCAACTCAAATTCAAATTTACACAATGTCATTCTTTAAAATGACAGGAAAATTTTTATTAATTACTATATAAACAACACTTCTTTATTTAAAATTAAATTAAAGTCATGTAAAGTAGAAAAACGATATATATCACTGTAGAAAGTTATTTCGACACTAGATAACGATTTTTTTTATATCAACATGTTTTTATATGCGTAAAATCCGGAGGAAACATAATCTGACTTTGATTTGAATAACATAGACAATGCATTCGGGTTTTTGTAAGATGAATTGGTGGAGACATGATTTCATACTGAACTTTTTACAGGCCTAAAATAATTATGTTTCAACCCTTGGTTTAAATCACTTTACCTATTTCATGAACTTCCGACATCTTGGGCGGCATCTTGTTTTCTCGGAATTTGTACAATGATTATGAGTTGAAACCACAAGTCGTCATATTAACACCATCTCATCTTACAAAAAGACTAAAACGCATGTTCTATGCTAGGCAAAATTAATCTAGCTTCAGATCATATTTGCCAAAATTCTGCCGGACTGGTGAGGCATTAATTTTAACTGCGTCATAATATTACTAAAATATTTCGGATGTTTAAAGTATAGAAAAAATTGTGAAAACAAATATTCTCTAATATTGACAAAATGTGCACTTAAAAAATAATCGCGCGATACTAAATTGTAGGTCCCAGCAAACAAAAGACGTTGTACCAACGTTGCACTGACGTTAGACCCTGACGTTGGGTAAACGTTGGCAGAAGGTTGGATTTGAAAGTTTTTTTAGACGTCAGAATCCAACGTCTATTACAACATTATAAAATTACCTTTATCCAACCTTATCTGATCAGAAGCCAACATTTTCTGACCATTATTGGGACATAATCCAACCTTTTCTGACCATAATCCAAACTTTTCTGACCATTATCTGACCATAATCCAACCTTATCTGACCATGATTTAATCTCATTTCAAACTTTTTGGAATATGTTTTTTTTTTCATTTTAAGCTCATTAGTAGGGTAAAAAATAAGAATTCTTATAATTTTAAAAAATTCATTTTCAATAAATCACATGTACAAAACAATAAATGTGGTACTATAACAAATGCAACATTTACACAATGTATTTTGAAACTATTTAACTTGACAGTATGTACTTAAATAACACTTCCTATATTAATTAATCATGCTTTAGATAGACAAAATTATTCATAAACATAAAATATGATAAACAAGCAATTATCATAGTATTG